AAGCAAGCAAGCAAGCAAGCAAGCAAGCAAGCAAGCAAGCAAGCAAGCAAGCAAGCAAGCAAGCAAGCAAGCAAGCAAGCAAGCAAGCAAGCAAGCAAGCAAGCAAGCAAGCAAGCAAGCAAGCAAGCAAGCAAGCAAGCAAGCAAGCAAGCAAGCAAGCAAGCAAGCAAGCAAGCAAGCAAGCAAGCAAGCAAGCAAGCAAGCAAGCAAGCAACAAGCAAGACAGAAAGCGAGCCAGCAAGCGAGCAAGCGAGCAAGCTCGCAAGCGAGCAAGCGCAACCCCAAGGGCACGGCTCGCTGGTCTCACTCTGCATGTCTGGGCACATCTCCGAGCGCTCCTGGTGGAGCGGGGAAGAAAGGCCCAGCGCGGTTTGGGAGTCGGCGAAACGGCAACCCTATCTGCACATGGGTTGTTAAATGGGGGCCAGGGGGGGGGGGGGGAGCTGGGGGTTCCTAATCGCACGCTCATCTCCATACCAGCTGTGCTGGTGCGCATTCATGCACGCGTGGAAACCGTGGCACTATGAAGTGCTTTTGCTCCTCGAGGCTGGTGAGGATTGGGTGCTTAGAATTCCATAATTAGGTTTTTTGATCAATGCGCCCACCCTTGGCAGCCTATCTCTTGGCATCATGCATGGGCGTGCAGCGGTCGGGCAATTGCTGCTTGGTTGCCGTGCATGTCCAGTGTGTCGAGGCATCGCAGAGGTATAGTGAGGTATACAGGCCTTCCGCTCTGTTCACCCAAGCCAAACACACAAAGAGCCGTCATCCAGCTCCTGCCGCTCCGGCCTCTGTCCGGCCCTTTTGCTCTTGCTGCCTTTGCTCGTGAGAATTCGAGGCTCGAAGGGTACGACTCCGAACTATTCATGGACCTGACGGGTGGATGGATGGACCCACAGAGCCATGCACAGCTATTTGCTACTCCCCTCTTCTTCTCTAGCCCTGTGAGCAAAGTTCCGACTGTGTGGCACATGAAACAGCTCCAACTTGAAGCGCGCAGGCACCCCCTGCCCTGCTCGAAACACTTTGATATGACTGGATGATGCTTGTAGTTGTGGCTCCCCCTTTGTACTTATAGTCGACTCGTACAATGCACGCGCTCATGGCGTGCTGCCAGCTGCTCTACGAATGCCTGACTGTGCCCCCCGATCCATCTCAGGCCAGCACAGAGTGGCAGCCAAGCATGTAGCAACGGTTCTTGGCAGGACACAAGTTAGAGAGCAGGGGAAAGGAAGCTCAACCTTTGCAGCAAAGCTCGCGCACTCAACAATCTGCTTCCAGCACTGTGATCAGGAACCTCCCCGACAGAACCCTAAGCGTCAAATGTGCAATGTGAACAATGAAGTTGCACAGCCTGATTGGTCTGATATCCCCTAAGTTGTGCCAATACTGCGGGATGTGAATTCCCAATAGGTGGGGTTTTTTGGCTGGGCTGCTTGCTGCCGCTCGGACCAAGGATCTGCATGGGGAAAGTGCCCGCGCGCAACCTTGGCTTCGCAGCACGGGCGCCCTTGCATTCCGCTGATCAAGCCTCCGTTGGCTTTCGGGATCCGCCTGAATATTGTTGATTCGAATGTAGTCGCGATTATGGTGGTATGCTATTAGCAGGTATTTAGCCCCTTGTATCATCAGCTGCAGGGGCCCTAGTTTAAAGCTGCGCATGAGCTCCCTTGCAAGGAGTGAGACCGGCGTGTCAATCTTCTTCTGACCCCCCATTGCTTTCTTGGGTCAGTTTTGCCGGAGACAGTTGGGCTGGAGGACACTTTCTCTGTTCAGGTCTTTTCCAAAGTGCCCGTTGACTCTTCATGTGGCCCCTGCGGCGACCCACAGGGGGCCAAGCGCCGCAGCTAGGACCACCAAAGTAGCATGAGGCTTGCACTTGTCCAAGAAGAGCAGGGGGATCCTGAACCTCACAGCAATCAAACTAAGCAAGTCGGCCCCAAAACTTTTGAGAAGGCCCAAGCGAATGAAAAAGCTCTATGAGCAAACGCGCAACCAACGTTCAAAGTCAAAAATATATTTACACCCACGAGTTGGGGGCCGGTTTGCAGGCAGGGTAGCGTGTCAAGAACATGCCGGAAACCATTGAAACATCTCGCTTTCCCTTGATGGTCCTCTTGGTACCATCGTTTCTCATCAATTCAGCGCACCTCCTGCTTGGGGCAGCTTCCTTTGTTCTCATCTTGTCTATGTGCATCTCAGATTTTCTGGCTGGTAACGGTCAAGTTGAACACCCAAACTGGCACGAGAACAATATATGAAATTCAATTGCTGCAAGCCAACTCCAGCGGAGTTTAGCAAGGGAAGTGGTCGGAGACTCTTCCCAGCGAAAAGTCGAAAAGTGGTCAATGACGATATCAAATTTCAGCTTCTACTTGCACACCATAGTTCACCTAGAAGTCAAGGGGAGCCCACATCTTCAAGCCTGCAGATCATCTTGTCTGCCTCTCGCAAACCAAAATTTGATTTGGATAAGGATCTGCCTCTCCGATGTGAACAAACGCCCTGTTGCCCGAGGCTCAGAGTATGCATTCCCCCTCTCAGATCTCGGCTGTGCTGCCCCCTGGAGAAGACTCAAAGAAGGGCCTGGGCGACGGCAGTCGGCCGCTTGGCCGCTGTCGTGGTGGGATCCCGAAGGCAGATTCCAATGGTACGCTGCTGGTAGGCGGTTTTTCATCCTACCATGATCAGAGTCCGAGACGGCTCTCTGATTTAGGCGTGTGTCCCTTGTGGGCGCAAAGGGCCCAAAATTAGGGCTATCCCTTGGCCTTGCCTGGCTCCAGGGAAGATACCATGAAATCCCTTCATGGCAGCACGGAAACTGGGCGCATGAGGTTCATGCACTGCCGTTGAAGCAAAAAAACCTTTAGGTTTGGCTCGAAGCGCCAAAGCAGATTGCCGTGCCCATCATGCCATGCCTCCGCCAGCAACCCTGATTTGTTCAGACAACCCTTGGACCTGCCGCTCGAATGTCGAACGCTACGATGCCGAGTCCCAGGGCAGATCGGCGGAGGCTTCGCGATGCGGGCGTTCAGGGAGTTCTCCACGGACTCCCCGCCGAACTTTGGTACCGGCCCAGCCTGGCTGATCTGGGCGCCAGGACGGGAACCACTGATACCCTGCTGATCCAATGCTGGTTCCCTTGAGGTTGCTGGATTTCAATGGCTTGTCGACATACAACTGGGCGTGTTATTTTAGTTCTTGCCTCGTCACCTCGTTGCGGCTATTTCAGGTTTAGCACCTCGCCTCGTTACATCTGGCTTCGGTTTTAGCACTTCGTCTCGCCTCGCCTCGCTAAATGTCTGCTTTGAATTGGGACCTAGCTTCTCTAGCCTTACCGCAACGCAGCATAAGGGAAAGGAAAAGCGCTTAGGGCTCAGAAAGTCTGCGCTTATGCTTGCTGGTGATAAAAGATGCTTCCCCGTGGTGAAAACCCAAAAGCAACTTTTAGGGGCCCGAAAAGTTGATTTTGGGATTTGATCATTTGCGACTTTCAAGCGACTTTTTCCCGTGATGAAAACCAAAAAGCAACTTTCGGGGCCCGAAAAGTTGATTTTGGGATTTGATCATTTCCCAACGGCAAAACAAGCGGAGACAGGACAGGGCAAACAGGGCTTGACTTGCTTCACCTTTCGAACCCAGGACTGCTGTAATCTTGACAGCTGCCAGAGAAAAAAAGCTTTGTGTAATACATGCACGGGCTGCAAAACAAACGGAAACCCAAAATCAACTTCTTGGGGCCCGAAAAGTTGATTTTGGTGAGGTAGTTGCTTTTGTAGCGATCAAAGAACCTACCAAAATATACTAAATCACCTCGTTGCTGACCTCGTTAGTTCTACTAAATCACCTCGTCGCTCACCTCGTTATTTCCCAAAAAAAATGTAGTGAGCTTGGCTGGGCTCGTTCTAAAACGCGCAGACAAATGACTCCTGACTTGGCGGTTTGCAGCAACGCAAGCCGACTATCTGGATGCCCCTGAAAATTTGAGATGCAGAATGGAAAGCACGCACTGGCACGTCCATTGCTTGGGGAGGCCCCACCTCCGGTAGTCTGGCCGGCATGTTGCCCTGCCGAGACCTAACTGATCGCTGAGCATGGCTTGGAGTCCTTCCGCTACCAAGTTCACACAAGCAGCAAGCATCCTGGACATGTCAGCGTCGTCGACATGACAATTTGGCCGTCCACTCTTCTGACGTCCGAGGCTGCAACGATCGGCCCGTGGCCAGTGCTTTGCTGGCTTGGCTGGCCTGCCAGGCAAATCCACTCGATCCACACAGCTGGCTGCATCTTGGCCCCATCGACGTGCCTCCAACATGACAGCCCAAAGAACGACCTCAGAGAGAGCAAAGTGGTGCCATGAGCCACACACAGCTCGCTGATCGCTGATCCGCTGACGCTCCCAAGTGTGCCATCGTGCAACCAAACAACGCATAGAAAACAGATCCTTTGAAGGTGGCCTCTGGAGAAATAGCCAGGGCACTGAGCCTGGAGCATACTTCGCATCTTGAAAGTATGATCAATGGCGCCAACATGTGGCGGAACCCCTGGTGGCCTTGTAATGGAAGCCATGGCAAAACCTCCGCCCCTAGGCGCCCGAGCAACGAAGATGAGCGTCACCACAAAAGAAAGGCCCAGAACGCAGGCGCCAGGCCTGGCAACTCACCATGCAGGGTCTGCTCTTTACATCTGCCCTCCTTCCCGCCAAAACAGCTGGTGTCGTCTTACACCAACCTGCACAAACTGCAAGCCTCATTTTGCGCTGCGACTTGGCGCCAAGTCATGTCTGGCTGGCTTCACAATGCGGAGCACTGGCTTTAGCAACTTTTAATGGGAACTGGTTGGGGGCAGGCATGAGCACCCCAGGGACTTGTGCCCCAAAGATTCCTCCAACAGCTGCTGCTCTGAGCAGACCGATCGCATCCCTGCCCGAGGCCGGCGCCAGGCTATGACATCTCGCGTGCGCAGTGCCGTGATGGACGTCACGGACGACAAAAGTGCCTCGGAGAACTCACATGGCCGCCTAGGTTATTGGCTCGTCGCTTCTTACCCGTTGCACTCCAGCTTGGGGGTCAGGGGGAACCTCGGCACCAAAGCCACGCTCGTTTCCAATTTGTGTAGACTGACTCTTCCTTCCCCTGAGCCGAGTGACCGTGATGTGACCGTGAACAAATCAAAATAGTTTGGCTCGCGTAAGCAGTTCAGAGATAAAACTCACTTTGACCTGTGACTTGACTGGCAATCGAATCTAAAACCTCCAGCACTGGCCTTCAGGTTGCAAGCCAACCTCTCTGCAACTCACATTTTGGCGCAACCACCAAATATGCAGTGACCTTGGGACCAGCTCGTGGCAAGGGTCATGTTGCAGATCCGATTTGCCATGGGCTGCCCAGCCAGGGGTGAAGAGGTGTTCAACGCAGCGCTGCCGTTTGCGTGCCTCAGCTAAGTGCTTGTTATCTGGACCAGTGAATTCCATGACGAGTCCTCATGGCTAAAGTCCTGTTGTCATGGCAATACTCCCTGCTCACCCCAGGCGACTGGTACAGGCAAAGGTCACTACTACTAGGTTGATTCCCCTCATGCCTTGCAAAGCTCATCCACCCTAGCCTCAGCCAGGAGCATGCCCAAGGGCCGGAACTATAAGGATCGCTTGGTATGCCCTCAGCACTGGGCGAACCTCGCCCATATAGCTTAGCAGGAAGCAGGATAGAAATGAAAGAAAGCATGGCATGCCATTCAGGCTGATGTTCCCGCTATTGGCTTACCTGCCAGCTGAGGCGAACACCAAGGGGCGGCATCTACAACCTGGCCGCGATGTTTCCGCACAAACATAACCCTGCAGTGTGAGCAGGCTTGCAAGAAGCTTCCATAAAATTCTGAGATGATCTCCAAAGGTACGTCAGAAAGGACTATTCCGACAAGCTCAGAACCCCAACTCACATGTCCCAAAACGCGCCTCCGTCTGTTTGTCTCGTGAATGGCAGATGTCCCCCATTTGCTTTCCCATTAAAGCCACGAAGGGGCGCCCTCGGAAAATCGCACGTCAAGCAGCCGGCGTGACGGCGGAGAGTAACGACTTGGCATGCCGCAGCTGCAGGGGTTCCCGCTGCCTCGGGAAAGCTCCCCTTGACACGGGGTGGGTTGCCATCGGCTCCATGTTGAGGCACAAGTGACAAAAGCGCAATGGAAAATGGCTCCCAACCCAAAAATAAAGCACCTGAGTCGATGTTGGCCATGCACGATGCAAGGCATCCACTGATTGCCTGCGTGCTTGTTGTGGTTCGGCAAAAGCTGCCAGTGAAAACCAAAACAAGCCGCTCTGGGTGATGTGGCCCATTTGAGGTAAGTTCCCACTTGCAAAGGCTACTGATGTCCACCCAGGTGGCCAATGCAGCCGGTGGCCAGCAGAAATGACAACAGCGTCTTGATACAGCGCATGGAAACACCCACATGTCCTCAGGCAGGGGCGACAGTGTCAGAGAGGTCTGCAGGAGAGAGAACCTTGGTGCTCCAATGCTATCGCTGGAGGCACGGGCGGGAGCTGGCAATTGGCTCGCCAAGCCGACCAGTCAAGTTGTGGCGATTTGATCTGTTTCACACATGTAACCACATCACCTACATCACTCTCCTCCTTCATGCGTCCGCAAAGGCTTCACATATGCCATACTCACGGAACAGTGCCCACAGCGTTAGGCCAATGTTTTGGCTGCCCTTCACGAAATGCACCTGTGCAGTCTCAGGACTTTTCTGCTTGACAGCACCCCTCGTCTGCGATACAAATCTTGTCATGGGCATATAGCAGCTGCTTACTCCTCTATGAGACGTCCCTCAGACACCCAATGCCAAATGCTAAGCAGCTCGACATAACTGACCCATTCCTATGTCAAAACAAATGACCAACTCATCGAGAAAGCGTTGGGGGATTTTTGGAGCATCATTCTGCACGATACAAATTATTTTAATTGTATGATGTATATCAGATCTATGAGGATTAAACCTTATCTCAAATTGTCTCAAACTGCCTTGGGAATGTTGCTTCGCTTGGGATTCCTGCCGCCTATCAGACATGAACCTCCCTGGGCGCGCCAGCTCTACCGAATCCTCCTCCAAGGGCAACTCCTGAGGTCGATGCCCTCTCGGTCTGCATTTGGGGGTGAAAGACATGAATCAAGCGGAAACACCCCATGAGACTTCCAGGAGGGATCGGCAATACGAACAAGCCAAGCATCAGGCCAAATGTCGTTACTAGCCACTTGCGGCTGTCTGACTGGCACACGTTTTCGAATCAAACAAGCAGTGGGATATTTAGCCAGCGCCAAGCTTCAATGCTCAAGGACAGTCGCGCGTCTTTTTTCCGCATCAAATTCAGGTGCCTTGAGCTGTCGTTGGCCTCAATCTCCTCAGCCCCTCTTGTTCTTTCCTTTCTGACTCACTCCTTTCGCTGCTTTCATCACCCCTTTTTTCGTCACCTTCATCACTTTCATCACTTTCATCACTTTCATCACTTCCTTCTTGCCCTGTGCCTTGGGTCGCGCTCTGCCTTTGGCCTTCTTCGCCGCCTTCGCCGCCTTCTCCGCCTCGAGGCGCTGCCTCTCCTTCTTGACCCAGGCCACGGCCTTGCCGAAGGCCTCGTCCACCTCCGGCTCCGAGTGGTCCAGCGGCTTGAAGAAGCGCAGCTCCTTGCCCGCCATGGCGCGCCAGCTCTGGTCCCTGCGGCCCCACCACACGCCCCGGAAGTTCTCCTTGGGCTTGAAGACCGGCAGGTCCCTCTCCAGCGGGGTCTTCTTCACCACCTGCACCACGCCGTGCTTCTCCTGCAGCGCCAGGCAGGTCTCCTCCGCCTCGGCCTTGGTCCTGAAGATGCCGCCGTTCAGCCTCTTGCCGCCACTCAGGGTCATCTCGATGACCCACCGCTGTGTATCCCGTCTCCACTTCACGCCAGGAATTGGGGAGGTGAACTCCGGATCAGTGTTCCTCTCCTTGATGCGGCCCTGGGCAATCAGCTCTTCACGGGCAGCCTTGGCTTCTGCCAGGGCGGAAGCATCTGCTACACGCTCAGTCTGGCCCATCTTTTTGTACTTGCTAAGGCCAAAGGTCTTCACTTGCACTTTGCTGGCTCCTGTTTCATCTCTCTCAGACCATGTCAGCCGCCAAGCGAACATGCGTTGTTGCCAGTTGATGCCCCGAATGCCGCTTTGCTTCTCCAGCACTACACGCTTGACGCCCTTAGCCCGAGCCTGTGGCTCCGGATTGGCCTCTGGCTGCGGGACTGCGGCTGGTAGCGCATCCTCCATGGCAGGCGTTGCTTGCAAACCGCTTGGCCCCGCGGCCGGCTGCGAAGGCATGCTGCCGGAGTGCTTTTGCATCCTTTCTTGTGAGACCCGGCTGAAACCAGCTTGAGCCTTGGAGACTATGCTGATGAGGCAGCCAGTCCGAAGAATCAGAACAATGCTGCAACACATGCAGGGATCTGCGCCTACAATGGGCATAGGCATACTGTCTACGTCTTCAGGGGCTGCCTACAACTGCTCCTGCAAAAGGCTCAAGAACAACGGTTGGACATTCAAAGTTCAGACCTCCTCGTTGAAAAGAAGAATGGCCATGTGGCAGCCCGAAGTCTGAGTGATGGCCTATGTGCTTGCAAGCAAAAAAATGTGACTGTTCTTTCTGCAAACAGCAAAGGGGAGGGGCATGAGGAAGGCAGCACACGCAATGTCCGCTCTCGCCTCAGGGTCCACTCCCGCATCTGCCGCAGAGCATTGGCTGAGCTGCTCCTGGGTTTGGCAGCGTGTCCGAGTCCTTGTGGCACAGTCTTTTCAAGCGGTTTGACTAAACTGCCTTTGCTTAGAAAGCTTGGAAAGGTTGCCCTAACAAACCTGAAGACAGCGCACCGACTTTCCCCAGAGAAGGTGCACACATGCCGTTCCCACGACTGTTCACGAACGGCTCTTCCAAGGCCACAGCCGCCGTGGCGAGAATGAATGGCAGGGAAACCTCAAGTTCCGGAGCAATGCTCATGTCACGAGGCAGGGGGGCACACCTGTGGTCTTGCCGGTTCGCAGCTTCATGGGACTTCACGTTCTCCCTCGTCAAACTCTGCATGCAAATGCAAACAAAAACATGCGTACAAAAGTCGGAAAAGAACGACCAGAACCAACAAAATGCTGATGTTGTTCTATGAACAATGTTCCTACGGCTTCACCCACGCAACTCAGGAAGCAAGTGCAAATGCTGCAATGCCTATGCTTGTAGCTTTGCGGATGCGTTTGGAGTCAGTAGTTGTCTGTTGTGCTCCCGTTCGCTCTGCCACAGCCAAATGCTTCAACAAAGCAAAGCTAAGTTGACTTCAGTGCCTCGTGACATAGCCAAGCAGCACCGAAGAGGAATCGCCGTCCCATAGCCTTCCTACCTGGGCCCGGCCAGTTGAAAAGCTGGACCCCAAGTGAGCGCTGGCTGACTGTCAAGAAGACTGGGCTGGGAATCTCAAACAGTCAAAGGCCAATGGCTAGTCGCAGAAAAGTGCCTTGCAAAGCGTTTCTGGGTGCAAACTCGTAATGCACTGGAATTTGCAGAAACTCTCAAATGCAGATTCAGGCCTGGCATGCTATTTTGGCGCTGGCGTTCAACGCATCTTGAACAGTGAAACTTTTCAGGCGCTTTCAAGCAATCCGCAGACTGCCTGACAGCCTCAAATGCCCCGTGCCCATCGTGGATCATATCTTCACCATTCCGACCCTCAAGCCCAGCCCCCAAGGCATTCAGATCATCCCATCTGACATTCCCTCTGACATGTCCGGTAGGCAAAAGGAAGGTTTGACTCATCCGAAGAAAGGGCATTGCAAGCTGCCTACAAGACCTGCATGGCCGCCTGCCCGGGACGCTGACGAATGAAGTGGGGCTTCTGTATCGGAATCCTGCACCATCCACCAGGCCTGGGCGGCAAAAAGGCACGAACAGCCTTGACCCAGTTGCGCTGGAGCCTAAGAGCCCCTTCCATCCTCAAGTGGAGAAGTATTTAAAGTGACTCGCGTGCCTCACGAGCCCCCAAATTGGAATTGGAAGAAAGGCATCACGGGCCTCACGACTGGCCCCCGCACCGAAGCTTCGCTCCGCCGACGCAAGGCGCAAGGCTTGGAACCCGAGCATGCGGCGGAGTGCCTACCTTCGCCCTCGTTGCCTTTCAACGCATCCCCTCAAGCGGAAGTTTGTGTGACAGGCCATCCCCTAAAACACGATATCTCTTGCTTGCAAAAGCGCCACATGAAAGGAAGCAGCCCACTTCTACTCCGGAGTCCCCGGAATTGGCTGCACGAATGGTGGCTCAAAAGACCGTAGCCACCCCTCACCAACTTGAAAACGCCCTGCTTGGGTTTTCCCGCCGGGCGCGCCTGATATCCCGAAAAATGAAGGCGCTCCTCCAACAATCATGGAAAGCCAAGGGGTTGCTCAAAAGGTATGCGACTGCCGTTTCCTCCTGCTGGTTGAGAGGCCTCAAGCCAAAGCAGTAGAATCCTGGAAGTTTCAGCTGTAGAACTGGCCCCGTTCGCTTGCATTGTTTGATGGAAGGAGAGGCAGTGGCCGATCGGCCCTGCACACTGCACACTCGACGGTCTTCGTCGTGAGAACTGTGCCTGGTATGTGCCGGAAGCGGCTTGGCCGACCAGCGAAGAGAGGTTGGAGCTCTGCAAATGCCCTCGGGACTCGGGACGGCTCATCAAAGCTTTCGGAGGGGATGGGCTAGCCTAGAGGTGAGCCGGGCCAAGGGAGAAAGTTGACTGCAACAAATCCAAAGGAATGACAGCCCCGAACCCCCCCCCAAAAAAAAACAAAAAGTAAAAAGTTTTCAAGCGGCTTGAGGGTACACTTTAAACAAGACGAATTCAGGGCATGATGGATTGAGGCTGAGTTGGGCTTGCTTATTTATGGCAAACTGGCTCAGACTGTTTAGGAGGTTTACATGAGGGGGTTGAGGCTCCATCTAGGGCAGGACAAACTGGGCGACCAAGAAAACACATTGAGCACTTTATTTTTTTGGCGGAAGGGGGAGATTCAAAAGTCGACACTAGCGGTACTACGCAACCAGTGCGAACAATTAGTATGGCATGGGTTTTGCTTGCGCGATGGGCATGGCCCCCAAAAACGAAGCCGACAGCTACAAGCCACAATGTCCATTGCAGCTGCCTTCATCGCTGCAGCCCATTTTGGGCGAGCTCAGCTGAATTCAGCTGGAAGGCCTATCAACCTATCAACAAGAGCTACGCTGACAAGAATTTAACAAACGCTGCCGTGCTAGCGTGCACGCGTCAATCTGCCCTCTCAGCCTCCCTTAGCACCTCAGCGACTTCACCTCAGGGACAACGGCCAGGCCACTACACCTGACTAGGCTGAAGCAAGGCCAGACCGCATGCCACCAGGATAAACAACTCCGGATTGAGCACAACTTTCTATTCATCAGCCAGGTAGTTCAACCCCTAGCCTCGCAATAAGTCCAAAGGCACACATACCTCCAGAATCATGCAAAGCAACACGAAGCATCACGAAGCCTAACGTCAATTCGACCTGCCTCGCTTGCTTGGTTGCATCCCTGTGGCGCAATGGCACGTTACGAATGCTTTTGTATGGGCCAGCTAGACACATGCAGATTCGTCAAACACACATCTGTTCAATTCACATTGGAGCATGGCCCCAGGTAGCATGCAGCCATGCGCCAGCATGCTGCAGCACCCAAACAGGCAACAAAGCCCCAGCGATATCAGCAAATCCTGCACTAGCAACCCGAACAGCATCGCCCCTAGCACCCTGGCGAATCATCCCATTCCTTGTAAGAAGTTGGAAAAAGGGTCAAAAAAGGTTAGAACTGTGAAATGCACGCATTGTTCCTAGTAAGCTTGAAAATCTTCCAATCAAGCACCCCGTTACTCGCCAAGCATCCCTTTACAATGTTGGCTTCCAAGTTATTTCAAAGCAGCGTTGGGCACCAGAAGCCAGGAACTCATCACTGGCGAGCCCAAGCGAACCTGCTGCTCAAAACCAAGGTCCATCCTTTGGAAAAACGGCCAAGTAATGTCCATCAAGCTAGCCAAACAAGTAAACTGCGTCTCTCCAACCCAGCGGGCGCTTTCCAACCACCAGTAAGGCGACCAGCGACTAGGCCCAGCGCTGTGGCCATACTTCTCCGCGCACCTTAGGTGCAAAGCTAAAAATGGGGGCCCTTATTTTAGTCGGGACGAGGACAATCCACTGCTCTTGAATGAAGCACTTCTATCTTGTCTATGAGCACCCCAGACCTACACAGTCTGGGACTCGGCCTACCGAAACATGGTCTCTCCGATGAGCCTGAGGACCATCATTTCAACTCTGGCATCCCTTTGAATATGGAAGCTGTCTTCAGCACATGTCCAATTGGTACAGCGCACACACACTTCACGACACTCTCCACCCGCCGACCCTGCCGACCCCCCGTAGGTTTCTCCCCGGCCCCAAGGCAGGCGCTGGAGCGGCGTCCTGCCCGCGGGAGTTTTCACCTGGGGCTTGATCTTAGGCGAGCGACCGTTCATGGGCGCTCAGGCCACGAGGGTCACACATTTTGGGGCCCTGGGCTGGAGCACCTCAGCTTAAGATGCTGGGTTGTGCCATTGCTGGCTCATCAGAAATTCAAGCAACCAAAAACCTTGAGATTCGTTGCATCTCGCTCACATCACAATTCTGCTGACATGCTTGCTTTCAATGATTCACTCGAGATGCACCCACCCTCCCGGTTGAGATGTCCGGCTAAACGATGGGCGGAGAAGTGCACATGAACAGCTAAGAGGCAAATGACTTTCTAATCCGCTCAAAAGCTCCCCTAACTATATCAGTTCCGTGCTGAATTGACTGACAATGTGAATGTTTCATGGAGTCCACAAGCCTCAACAAAACGGAGGCACTTGCCGTCGTGACATAGGGATCTCGAGGCCCGAATCACTCTCACCATGGCCCAGCGCTACGTGGTCTTGCAAAGGGTCCCACTTTCGGACTTCAGGACTTCAGAGGTCAGCCCTGCACGCATTCAAGACATGGAGGCGTAGCAATCTTGGAGGGGTTGGTAAATACTCCGACCCCTGGGAACAAAAACTGAAATCTCGGGCGCAGCTGCTTGCCTTCAGCAGCTCTGGCTTCAGCAGCAGCCGCACCACTGGGGCATGCCCGTTCCTTGCATCGAAGGGTCGAAGCTTTTTGGATTGCTTCAGGGCGAAAACAGTTGACAATGGATTCTCTACAGCACACAGCTCAGGTTCTTTCTTGTCGCTTGGAACGTGTTGCAAGTGGCAGATATGGAAGGGTCACAACATTTAGACTGGAAGGAACAAGCCACAAAATTCAGTGTTTTCTGGCTGGACTCCATTGGTGCACTGACCGAATGCCCGCGCTTTCTGCGCCTCACTGAGCATCACTCGTTCTTGCTTGCGGAACGGCTGGCCTTCATGGAATTTCGCTTTGAAACATCCGCTCTGACATCCTGCCACCTTTGCTCCTCTTAGCTCCCACGTCTTCTCAGGACCCCCACCTGACTGCCAACAGGAAGCTGCACCAGCCATCTGGGAGCAGGAATTTTGGTCAAGGCCGTCTGGTGGGGTGTGTGAATTCGAATTGGTGATAGGGGGACTTGCCACGGTAGGGAAAAAAAAGCCTACGGAAAGAAAGGCTCGATGGCAAAGGGCCAAAGAAATCCAAGAACCAAGGGCACGGAGCAATGCTCCCCCAAACTTGACCAACCCACGGTGGGCTTGGAAGCCGGTAGAGTGCCTTGAAGGCTGGAACAAACTCTGTATGGACCACGTACTCTGCCCGCCCCTGCAAGACAGTCACGTTCGAAGGAAACATGATTCTAACCCCAGAGGGAAATGGCAGCTTGACAAACTGCTCGATTTGACCCCATGCCCACAAAGGTTTTCCCTTCAAGTAATTCGAGTCTGTGTTCGCTGTGGTAGCCCTGCCACAAAAAGAACGCACCCAGGCCCAGGCCGTGCTCTTCGTTTCATCAGCCACAAGGCGATGGGTCAAAGGGAAATGAAAATGCCTGGCAAGCCTCAGCCGACTGTGAAACAGCATATCTGCCCCTTGGCTCGGCAAGACTTCGCGACTGGCGAGAATCCAACGAGCCAAAACTGGGGCAGGTGGCCGGCGGCCAGCAAGCTCAATGGCCTTACATGTACATCATGCCAGACTCACGGCCCTTGTTCTTGACAATCTCCCCGGTCATCATGGACTTCCAGCCGTCCTTGTAGGTCTCTGCCACCTGCCGACATTAGGGTTCAACTGGAACCTCCCACGCGGACCCCGACACGGAACTCGCACACCCGAACTCCGAACGCGCCGAACGCGCCGAACGCGCCGAACGCGCCGAACGCGCCGAACGCGCCGAACGCGCCGAAGGCCGTTTGCGCCTGCTCCTTGAGGTGCACAATGGCCTTCGCGGGGTCCAGGCCCTTGGGGCAGCAGTTGGTGCAGTTCATGATGCCGTGGCAGCGGTACAGCTTCATGGTGTCGTTGACCCACGCCAAACGCTCCTCAGTGTACTGATCCCGGGAGTCCGCAATCCACCGGTAGGCCTGGCGCCACCAAAAACGCAAGAGGAGCAGGGGAAGGGTTTTGGTTGAGGTTCAAAAGGCTGCGTGAGTGCTAGCTGGGCTCGAAGGGCCATCAAAACCTCATGAGATGAAATCCTGTTGAAAGGATCACAGGCAGAATACCTTCAAACCTCCTCGTCATTCTGGCTAGCGGGTGCCTGCAGTTGCTCGGGACATGGCAAAAGGGCTGCGAGTACCCACAAGTCTCCCCACCCTGCTCCCCCAACTCCCCTTCCCAAGTCAGACCATTCACCGGAAAAAAATATAAAAAAATTCACATCAGTGGCTCGATCAAGTCCCGGTCCTGCATCAGCACCGCTGGGCCCAGATAGTACTCGGGATTCCACCAATACGAGGGGCAGGACGTCATGCAGCAGGCGCACAAGATGCACTCGTACATACCTAAGCGAGTCCCAAAAATGCGTGCAAGGCTCAAGGGAAGAAGTCGGAAACCACAAGGAAGGCACGCCTATCAGTCGCGTTAGTGAGAATGGTTAGTTTACTTGCCCACGCAAAGCCGAATCGGAATTTCAGGTGGGAAAGCCCCCCACGCTGCATCAACCTGTGGCCGTGGGAATCCAACATGGATGTGCTCTGTCTGCATGCCTTCGCTTCACGTCAAGCATGTTTAAAACTAAAAGGTGCAGCAAGATACCCCAAACACCCATAAAGTCCATGTGAGGAAACAAACCGTGGTATTTCCAGGAGTTTCAATTTAAATCCGAAAGGCCCACAGTTGAGACAAACCTTAGCTCCAAGGCGCCGTCAAGCTTCGCCCGGTCCTCGCGGCTCTGGTAGTACTCCGTGTCCCCTTTCTTCTTCGTGTCCTTTCGCTTCAGCCACGGCTCGATGGATTTGTACCTCGCGCATGCGGCAAAACCCAAGGCTCGTGGGCTGAACCCTTCTGCCCCGCTGGGCGCAACGGCGGCCAAAAAGCCACCTGCCTACCAAGCCAAGAATATGGGAGTGGAGACACGTGTCGGAAAGCTCAGGACCCGCATTGTGCAGTTCTGTGCTTTTGGTTCCTGCAAGTTTCCCAGCACGCGTGGCCCTGTTTCACAGTCAGTTCCACAAAGGTGAGACCTTAAGCGCATTTTTGGCCCAGCAGCTGGTTGTAGAAGTTGGTGAGGTCCGGCACCAAGTCCTTGACCACATAGGTGTGAGGCAGGGGCTGGATCTCGATGGGTGCCTTGCTCTCCTCGATGTACCTTCATAGGAATGATTTCTCCTTTCCCGTCTCTCTCGCTTTTTCGGATCATCGGATCGTTTGTTGAGCGGGGGTCTCAGCAGGACAACAACCAAGAAAGCACCTACCTGGGACACCCCATCCCCACACTTGACTCAAATGGAGGAAACCAAAAACAATACGAAACAGCCAAAACAAATGCCCCGGACACTTTCTCAAGTCACAAAAATTGCCTGCCACTGTCCCGCGGCACTTGACAACCAGCCGGTCTGGGATCTGTCTTGTGCTGGGCACAAAGGCAGAACAAATCAGTCATCACAGACCAGTCTACAGTGCGATGTGGAGAAACGGACCATATCCTACACCCGCATCAATCCAAATGGGGGAATTCCTGATCCAGAACCCGCAGCGGGACCCCACAACCAGGGAAAGCAACACCATCTGGCATCAGGATCTTGCAGATTGACTTGCAACTAAGACTTCTGGCAGAGAATGTAGCTGCAATCCAGCCAAGGTGCAGCAGGCATGCCAGGCCGTTCTTGCCGTTGATGTTCATGGCGCAAGAGCCGCAAATGCCCTCACGGCAAGACCGGCGGAAGGTGAGAGTGGCATCCATCTCGTCCTTGATCTTGATGAGGGCATCCAGAATCCTGGTCATAGCTGCAAACACAAGTGCTGAGTGATTTTGAATGGGAGTGCAGGGGGAATCGTTGTGCAGCCGAGCAGCATGGGCCCGCACTCCTTGAGATCAATAGTGTAGTTCTGCAAAAACGGCTTGGCCTGGACACACTGGTTGAGCCCAGGCAAAGTCACATCGATGGGCAGCCGCTTGTCCGTACGCCGGCAAGCAAACTTCCACTGCCCAGCCAAAAGGAGATATGGGAGCATCTCTTTTGCCCCTTCCCGCAAAACAAACCTTGGGAGTATGTTGTTGTTCAACAGGCCCTTTGGTGCAGATCTATGTCCCAGTAAGCCCAGCCTGCTGGTCCGGGTCATAGCGATAGATGGCGAAGTCCTGCGGCTTGGCGGCCGCCGCAAAGCCGCGGAAGGAGTGGCGGCCGGGACGGACGGCGGATCTCAAAGCAGCCAGCGCCATGGCGGGGGCCCGAGGTAGCAGGGTCTCAGCTGCGTTTGGATTGGCTGCGGCCAGGATTTTGCTTCACATGGCATGAAGTTCCGGGGGTGCCCAGAAGAGAGATGCCGTTTGTCCAGAGCTCCCCCAATAGTCTCTGTTCGACATTGCTTTTCACGGAGAGGGGTCCAGGGAAAGAAGCAATGACAGCATACGCGCTGCAATTCGGAGAGACCAGGAACGCCCAACTTGGACAGGACCATCGTCAAAGTTGGAACGCAGGGTCCAATCCAAGTCCCCAAAGACACAGGAGCCCAGAACTGTCATGCCTGCCGCCGCCCAATAGCATGTGACCAAGTCGCACATAGCAAACAGACCCCAAACGCTCGCTGGGCTTCAGCCTTGTGACACAAATCCCGAAGTATGGATAAACCAGGCGCTGCGAGAAGCGGATTTCGTAACCCACCCACATGGAGTGAGCCCGGAGCCGAATGCATCGGTGAGCTCCGCGCTGGGCAGGCGGCGCCGGAGCTCCGCCCCGTGCCGCAGCAGCACCCGCGCCTCAAGCCCAACAGCCCCACAGCCCCGTGGGCGGTTCTACTCTGCGGGGTTCTCAGGAAGCGTTCTGGGAAAAGAAAGTCCCATTGCGTTTCTTGAGGGAAGTGATGTCCCCGGCATCAGTCCCTTTGGAGTTGGTCGACCCCAAAGGTCTATGACTCTTTAACTACTGTTGCCGGTGATTCTTTGAAGGGCAGCCAGCGCATTCCTCCCTACCGGCTTCATACCTGTCAGACTCAGGCAGGGGTCACATCTAGCAACAGATCTTCAGCTTGGCACAAGGGCCGCGACGTCCACTAAATAAGCAGTGTCATATCAACATTCGAGTGCTTGATTCTGAACCCTCTTGGGTTGCACGGCCATGTCTGCATTTGCTGGCCAACAAGGCCAACGCGCATATTCAAGCAACATTTAGCTTGTAAAGGCTCGGCCCCTAAACAAAAAGTTCTTGAGCTTAGTGGACTGCCTTCAATCCTTGCACTCCGTGGTTGGCTGGGACAGGCCAATTCACTTGCCTGAATGACTGCCTCACAGGACGACATGCAGACATACCACGCATTCGCGCCGAGTCAAACAAGTACGGTTTGTCAATCAAGGTTCAAAAGGAGCTCGGCACGGGTATCTCCTGTATCTCCTGAAGGCCCTGGCATTCCCAGGGCTTCAGAAAGACGGACAAAATGGCCAACACACGCTTTTGAGCTTCCCCCAACCCCGGCCAGCTGGGCATCCCGGCCACAGCCTCGCGGCCCTGGCGCGCAGCCACCATCAGGGCCGTGGCCCCGCTGTCCATGACCTAGGCAAGGCAAGGAACGCCTAGTGTCCCTGGTCCTTCCGTCATTTCGTGAGATGTCCTGCTGCTTTCCTGGTTGATCATTTCTGCCTGCCTTAAGACAAGCAAGGTGCACTGCCTCCGGCAATGTATGGAATTCTCAAGGGGGTCAAGTGGCGGTTGCTGCTCAGAAGGGCAACCGGATGAGCTGCGCGGCAGAAGGCCCCGGAGATGAAGGGAAGAGAATCTGAAGTGTCAGCTCACGAGAAGAGGAAAGCATCGTATCAAGGGCGGAGGTGATTTGCAGCTGCGCCTTATGATGTGGAATGGATTTCACATCAAACCTGCGCTTGAAGCCTGGGCCTACGGCCGCATCCACCTCCGCCCCGTGCTCCAGCAGGGCCTGGCAAGCATTAAGACAACCCAAAGGGTGATGTTGAAATCAAACAACAAGGCAATGCCAGCAATTTGACGGGCGGTTAGAATTGGGGGGGGGAATCCTTCGAAAGCCAGAAGCTCCCAAGAAAAGCCTCCGTTGGGCAGTCTTTCCAGCCCGGAGCAAACGTACAAGTTGTTGCGTTTCTTTCCAAGCTTCTTCTTGATCTTTCTTGTTTTTTAGTTGCATTCCTTTACATGTGACTTCTTGTTGGTACTGTGCGCAGGGCATGTCACGCGCCTGGCAGAAACTAGGTCTTGCAGTTCCTTGTAAAAGTTTCACGACACCCAGCCGTTGAAAATACTACCACCCAATCAAAGGAAAGATTCTGCAAAAAATGCAAGGTGACTACAAGGGAATTGTGCGGGAGGGGGGGCTTCACAAACAGCATGATGGTTTTCACACGCATTCCAACATTGATGACCGCCAGAAGGAGCTGAGAACAAGTCAGGTCGTTGGCACCCGATCTTTGGACTTCTTAAACTGTCTGTTTCCGGAGCACAAAAGCTTGGGTGAGACATCGCACAAACTGCTCTGGGATGCTTCCACCACCGCAAAGCTTTCGCACCTCAGCGACGGCGGCCGCCGTCTCCACGTCTGAGCCTGCCGAGTTGCCCTAATGGAAAAACCATGCTGAAAACTGCAAAGTAGCGCCTCCGCAACGCATAGTAAGGGAAAAGCCAAACGGCGTGCAGTCGCTCTAATATTCGGAGCGCTTTTTGTGCCAAGACTTGCACCTTCTCACTGGTTGAATCCTGCAACACAGCAGGCTCGCTTCAACCAGCTGTGATGTCATGCTTGGCGAAGGCAGTGTCAAAACTCCCCCTGGCTGGGGAAAGGATATGGATCTCGACATGCTAAGCCACGACGATTGTGCTTCGCCAAAAGCATACCACCCGAGATCCCATAATTGCCCAAAATGCCTCCAGCACCGGCCGCCAGGTGCAGGGGCGATGCCCGGCGCTCCGCCACTGCCTCAAGCCCATGGGTGTGGCTTTGGTGCAACCCCTCCTTCTTGTCAACCCACTGATCAACCACCTGGTCACTCGGCAGAAGGAGACAGCCATGTGATCCATCAGGGATGCCAGACATTGATGCCACCTACACGACGTCTGCATTGAATCTCCACCCAACTTACCCATACCTTCAGGAAATGATCGAACACAAACTTCACGGAGGACATATGAGGAACTCCGCATCCCTAGCCAGACCCGCGCAGCCAAGGCGCATTCGGCGATGCGCCCTCCTGCAGGAGCAGCCGCACCATCTCCTCGTGTCCAGCCTCGCTGCGACCCCCAAAGACATCCCACCTGACCGCCCATTCAAAGTTCCCAGGTCGAGTCATTCAAGAAAGAAATCTCTGTAGGCGTCCCTATGTCCCTTGGTGGCCTGCGAGGGGTCCCTATATCCGAATTCCTCGCGGATGGGCGTCGGTCTAGCATACTGGTGTTGCTGTCTGTCTTGCCACGGTCTTGGCAGAATTCTACAAATCCAAAATTGTCATAGATGGTCGGTCAGAGAAGGGTTGGCGGCGGAGCTCCCTTTCTGAATCTGAAATCTCGGGTGTTGAGTCCTTGAATTGAGGATTCAAAGACCGCAGAGCAGAGCCCTGCATGAATTCGAAAACGTTGACTTCTACTCAATCAGTTCTGTGAAAGCGCGGAAACACATATATGCCTGACTCCCCATGCCTGACTCCCCATGCCTGACTCCTTCCCCCCCTCCCATTGATGGCCTCTGCGGCTATGTGAAGAGGAGTGATAGCCTCGCGCCAGAACTGCGCGCAGGACAACGTTCTGCAGTCTATGACTGGGAGTGACTGATACATCCACAAGGTCAGATTGAGAAGTGCGTAAGTTGCGTAAGTAATCACGACCTCGCAGGAGTGTTTGAAGGCTCCAGTTCAGTCCAATTTTCCGTGGCCAAGTCTCGTGCCGTGCAGAATCCTTGGCGGCTTCGCGGGATCCCAGGATCCTGGGTTGAAGATTTGGATGAATGAATGGCAGCTGTGCGTGCGTTTGCCAATTTGCGCCTGCATATTTGGGCCCACTTGACATATTTTCCCTCGAACTGCAAACTGAATGCCACGTGACACCCGCACAAAAGAGTTGATCACAACTCATGATAACCAGCTGTCGCAACAACATGAAGGGCCTGGCCCGTGAGGGGTATACATGTATTTGCCGCACCCTTCCGATCTGGGTAGCTCAACTGCACCCCGCCTGTTTGCAGCTCAGCGCTGGCGAGCTTGCCCTGCGCTGGGTCGCCAGGGGAGACCCAGCCGGCTGCAGGGTTCTCAGGTTACCCACAAGTAATTCCGTTGCGCAGGTATTTCGAGAAAAGCCGAACATCATCTAGCATCCAAACCTGGAATTTCGCCCTGGAGGGCAGTGAAGATGATGAATCAAAGCCGGAAAATCCTGAGTTAAAATCCACTTGAGAACCGATCCAACTCATGGAGCTTTTAGCAAGAGGCAGTAGACGCCTTGGCTGCCAACTCAGACGCTGAGGGTGCACAGACAAGTGAAGATGAATCGGACGAAGTTCTCTCCACGATAGAGTCTGGTGTAGGCATCAGGAAGGCTGCAGCGGATGGATCCATAGTCGGTTAGAAGCATCTCCTCTCCAACTTCGACTAATTTCTGCGGGTTGCATTAACCAGCATTTCCGCTTGTCAGCTGTTGCGCTGATGCCAGGTTTCATGGTCTGGCCTTGTTTGGCACTACGCTTCATTGAGCCTCCCCGCCCCCCTTACATGTTGAACTTTCGTGAGCCCTTCTGCCGAAGCGACTGAATCGAACGCAGCCCTCAGCCCGCCTCGACCGGAGCAGTGCCCTCGCACTCCTCACGTCGCCGCTCTGCGCCGCCACGTGTAGAGGTGTCCAGCCCTGGGCTTGGCCAACGGATTGGCATCTGGACCACGGGGCCATAGCTATAGTTTTATCACCCAGTCAGGGGGCTCACAGCCATTGGGGCCTATGGTGTGGGTTATAGCCATGGCTAAGAACCAGGTACAAAGTGATTTGCCCCTTTCAGGCAGGTATGGAACCAGTGTAGTTTCACTAATGCGCTGCACAAGCGTATGGGGGCAAAGCAAGCTGCGGAACCAAAGCTCCCGCCTGCTCTGTCTCCCGCCAAACCTCCTCTGGCGCCGCCGCCAAAAGCAGAGGCAGTGCCGTGCTCTTCAGGTGGCAGGCCAAGTGGAGGGCGGTCCATCCCCCAGGCCTGGGAGCTCTGATTGCCAAAGGGCTACAAATATCTCAGCTGTCGCCCAAGCAAAAGCAATATTGATTCTGCCGCGTATTTTGCGAACCCAGGCAAATGAGCACAACGGAGTACAACTGACAAACCTGAGACGAGGGATCTACATGATCACCAAGGCCAATACGGTTGACTCTCGTCCACACACAGTACAACGTTGAACCCGCCATGATTTCAACAGGAGATCCCTAGCCTCCCCCCCCTCCCCCCATCCCCGACCGAGGCAGCGGCAGCGCCGGGTCCAGCGCCGCCCGGCGCTTCAGCAGAAGCTCCGCCAGCCAAAAGCCGCCCTCCGACTCCAGGGAGGCCTCTCGCCCATTCAGCCCTCATGGCACTCCCTCAGGCGTGGGGTGCCTGTTAAACGGATGCCCCAAAGGCAAAACGCTATTCGTGGTTTGTGTAGGGGTCGCTGTGCTGGCACACACCAAAACATGCTTGCAGCCTTCATGAGACCTGTGGGCGCCTTTGTATGCTCTTCAACTTGGATATTGTCCCCACCCTGCCGCCCACACCAATTTTTTTCGAACCACCACCCACCACCCACCTCCACCCACCCCCTCCGTGGTCCACCAGGACCCGGGCCATGAGGGGCGTGCGGCCGCGGGTGCTGGGCAAATTCACCGAGGCGCCCGCGTCCAGCAACTGCCTCCCGTATGGGGCAGCACCTCAACGTGCCTTTGGAAGGAGTATAGATCCGTGATCTGTATTTGTGTATATGTATATATAATCCCTTGATGTGTTTCTGCTTTTGCTCACTATTTGTCTATTTGTCTATTGTGTGCTTGGTTGTGTGTGTGTGCTTGGTTGTTTCTTTGTTTGTTTGATTGATAGGTTGTTTGTTCGTTCATTCGTTGATTTGTTTGCTTGTTTGTTTGCTTGTTCCTTCATTCATGCATATACATACATACTTATACACACTACACTTGTATGGACGTACATGCTAGCCAAAGACAAGGACCTCTCGAGGCACCCTTGAACTTCTATTAGCTATTGTTTTGCAGCAGAATCTTCTTGAACGCTGGTAGTGCCTTTCTTTGTGAGGGTTACTGATTCGAGGCACGTGCCCTGGGAGCACATGGATTTTTTCATTTGATTATCCTCTTTCAGCGAAGGCTCTTCGCAAGAAGAACACTTATCATTTACTTGCATTGCTCACCTTGGCCAGTGTGCATAAAGGATTCTGTATTTATCGTATACGCGCCTGCGTCCCTTAATGTCCCTTAAGCCAACCTGAAAAGGGTACCCTCAAAAAACACACTCAGAGGTTGGCTAGATTTAAGACGCATGCTCATATAATGGATCAAACCTGTACGGGTGATCGCGCGGTGCGTACGGACGTATGTACGGACACGCGCGCGGACGCACGGACGGCGCACGGGCGTACGGACATGCGCGCGGACGCACGGGCGGCATACGGACGTGTGTACGGACATGCATCGAACGTACGCGCGTGCGGAAATACGCGCGGGTGGGCAGACGGCGTGACCAGAAAAATAAGGCCTTATTTCGAAAAATGATGTCGTATTTTGAAAACAAGGCCATATTGTTCTACAATCAGGCCTTATTTTGCACGCGGACGCACACGCCCGCGCGCAGCCCGTACGCCCGTACGTACACCCGCACGCAAATTTGCGCGCCCGCACGCACACCCGTACGTACGCCCGCACGCACACACGTACACCCGCACGTACGCCCGTACGTGCACCCGTACACCGGCACGCGCGCCCGCACGCACACACGTACAAGCGGACACGTCCATGCCGGAGCAAATGTGGTGTCATCATGCTCTGCGTGCCAATTGAACAAAGTCAACTCAGATGTCCAAATGATCATGATAGAACCAAGCTGTCATTGCCCAGGGGCCAACATCTACTTGAGGAAGAATCTTGATAAGAGTGAAGGAGGAGTGAACAGGAGGCAAATGAGCCTCAAATGAGGTTTAACTGTCATTAAAAAAAAAAAATCAGGTCTGGTCCGGGGGACTGTTGCGAAATCCTTGGCTCCAGAAGGTTATCTTATTGTAACCCGGCGAATTTCTCCCGCCCCTGGCCTTGCCATCGCAACGTGCCCGGCCTGACATGGATTCCCACACGCTGCCGAATCTAAAGTCAAGAGCGCTATGTACAGGGGCAGGTGTGCGCCCTCAAAAAACACCTTCCTAACAAACGCAATCACAAACTGAGAGCTCACGAAGACAAACTGGATCAAACAATTAGGCAGGAATTCTTGGTCGCTCTGCCCGAGAGAAACATCGCCTGTGCGAAAGGAAGGTCCAGTGCTTCATGCATGCAAAGGACCAGGCATCCAGATAGACGCTCGGAGTCCAAACCCAACAAAGAAGCATTTGCACACATGACCAAGAAAAGGGCAACGAGAAGGCTTAAGATGTGTGAAAAGCATCCAAAGTTGACAATGCTCTTCTGCCTTTGGGTAGTAGCTGCAGGGTGACGCGTCACTAGCAGCAATACAATCCCTTGGTGACAGGTGTCATGCACCAGCGTCTTCGGTGGGCTGTCTCGATGCATGATGGTTGTCTTTGAGGCCAATCAATTAGACAGAAATACACATGCGTGACTGCCTCACGTGAGCGACCCATACAACAAATGATGTGGCCAGCATGGCTCTCTAAAATGTTAATTCGGTTGAAGAAGCTTTTGTGCCTTGGCGCAACCTGACGCCTTTCATGCCTGCTATGCCCACAGCACAAAAGCACAGGCGCAAACTTTCTGCCCGCGGCTCGAAGTGCAATACTTCTGCCTTCAGCGGCCCCCAAATCAAAGCCCCGCGTGCCTTTCAGCGCCGCAGGCCTCTATTCTACAGCGTGTGGGCGGACATTTCCGCCGCACACCGCAAGGTTCACTTCACAGACTTTTGCATGCTATCATTTGCACGAGGGCGGGGGCATCCCTTGGACTTCAATGAGGCTTTAGAAAAGATGCTTGCCAAACATGTCACATCATCCGTGAAGGGTTTGGAATCATCGTAACATCACAAGAAAAACCCGGGCAATCGCCGCCCTCGTAGCATTCCCGGCTCAGAACAAGTTGGTCTTCTTCATGATCCGCAAAAACTCCTCCTCGTTCACCTCGCCGTCCCCGTCGCGGTCTGCCTCGTCGATCATCTCCTGCAGCTCCTCGTCGGTCATGCGCTCACCCAACTCCTGACGTGCTGCGCCCCGCGTGCTTCGGGTTCGGTGCCCTACGGCAGGTGATGTCTTTCGCAGACTTTCAGACTGGAAGTCCATTGACCTTGACCGCGCAGTCTGCCAAAGGCTTGTTTAAAGGCAATCATCATCGCCAGGCATGCAAAAAGCAAGGGCTGTCTCTATCAAGCTGGGAGCAGAACGAAACCAGCTTACCGCTACTCGGCGTGCTGGAGATGGTGACACAAAGCACCGCATTGCCTAACGGATGGCTCCCCCCCCACCTTTGCCACGCGCTTCAAGTTCTTAAAGGAGATCTTGCCCGTCTCGTCGTCGTCAAAGAGGCGGAAGGCCTAATGGCTGGTGCGGAAGCACGACCCAATCCGATCCCCAAGGAAAAAGTCACTCAAGATCTGATTTTGGGCCGACAGCCCTGTGCCCTATGCACTAATCTCCCCCATGTGTCCTTTCCTGGTTCATTTTTCGGCTTCCCGGCCTTCAGGATCTCGTCCTTGGGATCACGGTTCAGGATCTTGTGAGTCATCATCTTCAGGAACTCCTCATAGCCAATGGTGCCTTGGCAATTGCAAAAGGCCATCCGGCTAAGGTCACCGAACACCTGGGCAAACGGATGTGCATAGCAAATGCTCATCCAATGCCAGCTTCTGGTCACTGCAACGGGGAGTGGGGTCCACAAAAACCATGTACTATACTGCGTTCAGACGCTTTGGGACCCAAACAAAAACTGATTGATTCAAGGATCCAGAGCCATCATCATCCACGTCAGAGATCATCTTCTGGATCTCCTCCTTCCTCAGCGCAACAAGCCAACGAGCCAAGACACGTCGTGGGAATGCCTCACACTCCTCCTTCACTTTATGGAAAGTGACAATTTCCAGACGAATGATCTCCAACAAACCTAGACCATTTTCCCCCATGTCACTTGGGGCCCGAGGTAGGCGAGAGGCTTCGGCTCGAAGCCCAGGGCGCGCATCGCCACCTTCAGCTCCTGTCGGAGAATCGGAGAAAAACGGGCTGGTTCCATCGCTGTGGAATCGTGGAACCGCCCCCCGGCGAATAAACAGCAGGGAATACCCAGAATGAAGCCCCCCTCAAAAGAATATTTTCCAAAAACGAGTTTGTTGGGCTCAAACCCCATGGCCAAGCGGAACTTGAAGGCAAAAATCCGCCGACATTGTGTCGGACACCTAAGAGAGGATAGAGGACGACCCCCCCCCCCTCACCCCCCCCCCCGCCCCCCCCCCACGGACGCGCGGCAATTTGATGACGTTCCACTAAACGTAGTCTTCGGGGAGCCGGTGAAACAGGGGTCCCAGGCTCGATTCCCCCTGCCGGCTCCTTGCTGGTTTGGGGTTCCTGCCTCCTTTTGCCGAAAATCTGGAAAAACTCTGTGTTTTTGGACGCCCTAATTGCGAAAACGCTGGAAAAACCGTGTTTTTTTGCGGGAATATTCGGGAGCGAAGGGGAAACGCAAGGAAGTGCAAGCAAATGAGCGGAGGAAATAGGAAGTCGACATGACAGGAAAGCAGCAGGAAATGAAAGGGAAACAAAGGGGAACTGAAAGGGACACGCAAGGGACAGAAATGAAAACAAGGGGAGTGCAGGGGGAATGAAAGGGAAACAAAGCACAAGGAAACTAATCGGCACGACGGGAGATGTAGGGAAATGACTCGCAACGAAAGAACGGGACATACATGGAAAACGAAGCGGACATACCGAGAAAATGTCAGGGACATGAAGGGGGAGTTGAAAGGCATAAAAAGGACATGACCAGGACATCGTAGTGAGATGACAGTTCAGGGTCATGAAGGGGCACTGCCCGGACAACGAGGCGGACGTGACGCTGCAATGCAGAGAGAGAGAGAGAGAGAGAGAGAGAGAGAGAGAGAGAGAGAGAGAGAGAGAGAGAGAGATAGAGAGAGAGAGAGAGAGAGAGAGAGAGAGAGAGAGAGACAGGGAGAGAGCGGGAGAGAGACAGGGAGAGAGAGAGAGAGAGCGCGAGACACAGAGAGTTGTCAAACTACATGCTTCACTTCCTGCATATGTGTTGCATGTATGTTCACTACCGCAGGCCTTGAGCTTACTACTCCGCATGAGTGAAAAGGTTGGCAGCTGCAGACTACATTGGTTGACTGTTTGTTTGAACACTACAGCCCTTGCACTTGTAAGCAAAAGTACCAACTAAATTTAACGTGGTAGCGGAGCTGAGATCCTAAACATAGGGGAGCTCCAGTAAGCAGTAAGTACTACAACCACAGCAACAGCAGTCACACGCCAAACTACTGCGACATGTCAGGAGAAGCAGCATCAGCCTCAGCACAACAAACTACAGGAGCAGAGAACGGGCCAACAGCAGACACAGTAGGAGCCACAACTACGGGAGCAGGAACAGAACAAGATAACGACGTTCAGAGACTACATAGATACAAACTGCCACCACCCTTCTTCACTGGTGACTACTCCCAGTATGAAGAATAGCTGTTCAAGCTACAAGCATACCTCGGCCTCATAGACCGAGACTTCGACCTGGTGCTACAACTAGCACAAGTGGCTACACGACAGATTGAGGACACAGACATCAGAACACACATACTCGACCCTACACAAGCAAGCAAAGCAGTAGACCTCTCCAGAGATCTACACTACATCCTCATCAACATCTGTCAGGGAGCAGCAGCTACAGTAGTGAGGCAAAACCGCTACAACGCAAACGGATGTGAAACACTTTGACTACTACACAACAGGTTCAGCCTACCAGTAGGAACAAGAAGCGTTGGCTACCTTACCAAACTACTGGAACCTACATTCAACGAAGCGCAGTTTGAAGAACAATTTCTACAATGGGAATACGACACCAACCGCTACGAGAAAGACAATGGAACAGCACTACCAGATGGAATCAAAATAGCAATACTACTCAACAAAACCAAAGGAGCACTGCAGCAACACCTCCAACGAGCTGGACAGATCACGAACTACATCGAGATCAGAGCACTCATCTTGGACTACTACAAGACGATTCCAGCCTTCACTAGATCTACTTCAGCAGTAGGAACAAACTACAATGAACAATGGAGGAGCTGCATCAATGGATGTTGACAACATATGGAGGAAAGGAAGAAACTACAAAGGCAAAGGAAAAGGAAAAGGCAACTACAAAGGAAGCAAAGCAAAGGCAAAGGCAAATATAGGAGTAAAGGACACTACAAAGGATTCGACAAAGGCAGCAAAGGAAACTACAACAAAGGAGGATACAACAAGAGCAAAGGAAAAGGCTACTCAGGATCCAAAGGATATGGATCAAGCAAAGGCTACAAAGGCCAAGGAAACTACAGCAAATCAAAAGGAAAAGGAAACAACAACTACACAACATGCCATCCATGTGGCAAGCCTGGCCGCTGGGCACGAGACTGCAGAGTGCCAGTATGGCACATAGGAGAAGGAGAAGAACTACATCCACTAGAACAAGAACAAGCAGATCATGACAACAATGAAGAACTACCTCAGGATGTGAACAACACTTGGGACTGGTACTATGAAGGAGAAGAAGGACAACACGAGGTGAACTACATGGAGGAGAACTGGAACGACTACGACTATGACAACAGCTGGGATTGGAATGACAACAGCTATGAGGACACAGCAAACTACATTAGAGGCATCAACGAGTCACACCTTACCATTGGACACATCAGACAAGCAAACTCACGACTACACAAGCACAAATCCAAATCACTACTTGGCAAGAGAACAACACACACAACATCATGGAACGACCACAGCAAGAGCTTTCAACAATTCCTACAAGAAGACACCACACAGCTACACTTCGACATAGCAGCAGCAAGACAACAACAAAGGAACAAGAAGATTGAGGACACTATCACACACTACATCATGTACTCCAACTTCAAGTCATACCACCACCTGTTGATCGACTCAGGAGCATCTACACATGTTTGCCCGAAGGGCTACGCACCAGACCTACCGCTACGACCTTGTGGTGAATCAGTTCCACAACTCTACACGGTTACAAACAAGAAGATTCCTGTCTACGGCATCAAGTACGTTCCCTACAAGCAGGACAACTTCAGGATCATGATACCCTACTACGTTTGTGATGTGAAGAATCCAACCCTCAGTGCATCAAGACTACTTGATAGAGGATATGGACTTGACTTCACTCCACGACACTGCACCATCACACATGAACAACAACAAGCACACCTCATAAGACACTCAGGACTTTTCTACCTACGAGCAGAGAAGATCGACATCCCTACAGGATTCGACATCTACCCAATGACTACAGACAATGGAAAATCCATTGCTGTGATTCAACCTACAGAGAAAGCAGTACAACAACAAGAACAAATTGCACCACTCACCCACACAGACCAAGGACTACGACAGATCCTGAGTGAAAACACTGACTACTGGAAACTTGATGGTGACTACGCCATCAGAGTACACAAACGACCACGCAAAGCATTGTTCACACCACACAACAGCGGTTGCCCAACACCTGAAGGAGAACTAGATGATTGGCGACTAACCATCATCAACAGACAAGGGCAAGAGCAAGAACAACTACAAGAGAACCCAACACAACTTTCCAAGCAAGAACTACAACGAAGACTAGAAGGTGACAACTGGACTGGAGAAACCAGATTCAGAAGAAAGATAACACCTAAACGCAGAGCAACATCAAAAACCACACCAACAAGGCAGAGCTCACAACCACAACGGCTGATGGACACACCACCAACCAGATCAAAGATCCAACTACGAGCACCACAAAAGCTATGGAGACCTAAAGCAGCACCTTCTACAAATCTTGACACCACACAACCAAAGGAGACAATCCACAGACCACTCACAGCACAGGAGGACAACCAAGACTACTGGGAAAAACAACGTGAGATAATACACCACACAACACTTAGAACAACTCTATTCACTCCAACAGATGGACCAGCACATCCACCAATCAGCACACTTGAGCCTCACAGAACTACAATCACTTACAACAACTTTGGAGAAGTTTCACAACGCAAAGATGACTGGACAGTCATGGGCAACGCAGCACTACCATTTCAATGGAAAGGAACAACAAGGTTCACCATGAAGAAAGACTACAAGTACATCCAGGAGAACCACGATGAGGAACAACAACACGAGCATCATGAAGCACACAGAGCAAGAGGACTACGACAACCACAGCAGCCCACTCCACAACAAATAGCAGAACACAATCTTACACACCTACCATACAGAAACTGGTGTCCAATTTGCGTTCAAGGCAAAGGACGCCAAGACAACTACAAGAAACAACAATCACGACAACCCGTCATTCAAGTAGACTTCGCCTACATCAAATCACAACAAGACCCAAAGACCATACCAGTACTGACAGCAGTTGATGTTACTACACAACTGTGTATGGCAGTAATGGTCCCGGACAAACCATCAATGATGGACTACATGGTCAACAACCTACAAGCATTCATCTTTGAGTGCGGAAGAACACAAGGCATACTACAAAGCGACAACGAAGACACACTCAACGCACTTCTAAAAACTACAGCAGCAAAAGTCGGCTCAATGACTGTACGACACCACCGTCTTACAGCAGCAACAGTCAAGGAAGCGTTGAGCGACTACATAGAACACTCCTCGGACAAATCCGCGTTGTCAAAGCTCAGGTTGAAAGCAACTACAGCATGACGATGTCCACAAAGCACTGTCTACTACCTTGGATAGTACGACATGCAGCATGGACGGTAAATCGCTACGTCATCCACTCAGACGGCTACACAAGCTTTGAACGCCGCTGGGGAAGAAACTACGAGCGAGCAATCTGCGAATTTGGCGAGACACTACTTTACCTTCCACCACAACACAAGAAACTTCCAAAAGCAGACCTACGGATGCAGAAATGCATCTGGCTCGGAAAAGTTTCCGAAACCGGAGAAAACTACGTCGCAACGGAATCAGGCGTACAAAAGGTATGAACAGTACGGAGACTACAACCGGACTTCAAATACGACCTCGCACTGTTGAACAAAGTTTCCGGCACACCATGGGCACCACGACGGAACACCTGCAACCCATCGTTCGCAACACTGTTGGACACGCAACTACAACTGTCAGAGAAAAGACGGTCCACGCAAGATTTCGGACAACAAACGAAAGCTACGGATGACATCGTTGCGGAACCCGCAACAAAACAACAACGCACTACACCACCTCCACGACTTCCGTCTACATCGACGTCAAGTTCACGACCACCACCGGATAGTCCTATATGGCTACTTCACCAACCGGACGACAACATCCACCACTACCAGCACCACCTCGACAAACACTAGGACGTTTAACTCCGGAAGAAGTAATGCAACCAACTAAAGCACAGAAGACCTCAAAGGACACTACAATCAGATCAACGGAGCAAGCAACCAAAGAACCACCACCACTACGACAGAAAATCAACGCAGTGACACTTCCCAACAAAAAAGCCATCACCCCCTACACAAACGACGACACCTCAGAAGACCAACCCATAATCTTCGACAACGAAGGTTACGACGAAACACAACTACTGGAAGGAATGAAACACGAGTCAAACCAAGTGAAGCTACATGACGTCTACGACGAAGTAGATGCGTCTACCACGTCATCAGAGATGACGTTGTCGTCAAGATTGGTACATAGAAAGAAAGGACCAGGAGTACGAAGCCGAATCGTCGCAAAAGGCTACACAGAGAAGATCGAGGACGAAGACTCCGTCTACGCCTTTACACCAATGTTCACGACACTCCGGACACTTCTCGCACTACAAATATCACGACCAAACTGGATCGCGCGACTAGGTGACGTCTCTACAGCATTTCTACACGCACCCATCGCAAAAAGACCACGACGGTAAACAACGTGACGTCTACCCTTGGCCACCTAAAGAACTTTGTCCACAACAGGACAAAATCTGGCGACTAAAGAAAGCCATGTATGGACTACGCAGTTCACCAAAAGCATGGCAGGACTACCTGGCTGAAGTGTTCCAAAAGCTCTAAGACTAGGTCTACACCAATGCGACCCGCGACTGCTACATCATGGTCTACGTGGACGATCTACTAGCACTTGGAGACAAGACTGCGGTCGACTCCACTTTCGAGGCCGTCCAGAAGCAGGTCCTACTCAAGCACATCGGCTACCTCAAACCTGGCAAACCACAACAATTTCTTGGAAGAAACATCGACCACTTTGGCAACTACTGCAATCTTGGACTAAAGGACTCCTACATCGACAACATGATCGAGGAGTCTGGAATGAACAACTGCAACTCAGTGAACACTCCAGGAGTTGCACACTACAAACCAACAATAGAAGATGAAGCACTACTTGACCACGAACAACACAAAAGGTACAGAAGGATTGTTGGCAAACTTCAATGGTTAGCACACACACGACCAGACATTGCATACTCCACAAAAGAACTAGCACGAGACCTCACAGCACCTACAGAACTTTCACAAAAGAGAGTCAAACATCTACTACGCTACTTGCACGGCACCAGCACTACAAATTCACCATAGAACCAACAACAACACTCAGAGCAAACACCAACAACATCCTGGATCTCGACGTTCATGTCGATGCCGACTGGGCTGGATGCCCTACTACCAGGAAATCAACTTCAGGTTTCAACATCATCTTTTTAGGAACAACAGTTGCATTTGGCAGCAGAACACAAGCTACAATAGCACTCAGCTCAGCAGAGTCTGAACTCTACGCCATTTGCACAGGAGTTAATGAGGGACTACACCACAGAAACTTCCTACTTGAAACCAACATTTGCAGCAAGCTAAACCTACGCATCCACACAGACTCCACAGCAGGCAAGAGCATTGCTACACGACAAGGCACTAGCAAACGAGCAAAACACATCGACCTCAAATTTCTCTACACACAAGACCTCATCAAGCACGACATCATTAGAATCCTTAAGATCAACACGCTTCAAAACAGCGCAGATTTAGTATTTTCACTTGCACTTTTGGCGGCTGAGTCAACACCACAGTTATTTGTTTTACATGTCTGCATGCGCCGCCTGCCTGATGGCAACTACTTGGGCTCATTTTGTTTTTTGCCCCGTTTCACTACGTTTTGCATTCCACTGCAGCCATGGCCGCTCCATCTACTGCAGATGCTACGATGGGAGACGCCACTACGCCCGACAGGGCAACTACACCTGAGGTGGCGGTCATTACGGACTCCAGTGACCACGGACTCCACCACCTCAAACCTACAACGACTCCAACTACCACTTCAACCATTCTACACCTGGCAACACGGTCTACTACAACCCGACCACAGTGATGGACCAACTACACATTACTGAGCACCAGACAACCACTACACCACCATTGCCCGACAACACCCTACACTCAATTTTTCACTGCACTCACACTTGAAGAGTATCAACTACTCTCACAACAACAAGCAACTCCACTGGCACAACTGGACTACACGCGACCCATTCACTGCATCCCTGGAGGCCTTCGGATGCCTCACTACAACTCTACACTGCTCAGCGTTTCACTACCTGAAGCAGCCAAAATCCATTACTACCACACGACTTCACTCCACACTACAACCAGCGACAACACCAACTACATCATCATCCTACTCTAAACTACTCCACTACCTTTACAACAGAGACCAACTACACGACTTCCAGCACAAGGCAATTACTACCATCCTCTGCAAGAGTATACAGTACTACGGACTCACACTACTCACAATGACAAACCTCACTCAACATCACAAAGCACTACTACACCGCTTTCTCAGGGAGTACGACCAACACATGTCGTGCCCTGAGATAGACGCCGAGCGACTACGGGGAGCTCCAAACTACATGACAACAATTTTTCACCATACATTACCACGCGACCTTGGACAACAGACTCCAGATGGTCCAAGACTATCGCGCCCAGAAATGGGGACTACATCTTTGAGCTCATGCTCCACTACAACGAGTGCCTGCCGCACTACTTCCATCCAGCGCCCTACATCGAGCTCGAACCTGAACAGCGTGAACTACTGAGCGCAGGTCACTACTTTTGCCAATACAGTAGAATTGATCAACAACAATGGTTTTCATCAATACTGCCAACCCATGTTTCGCACTTCAGTTGAAAAGGTACTACAAAGACTTTTTAACTGAGGGGCCGTGTTAAACTACATGCTTCACTTCCTGCATATGTGTTGCATGTATGTTCACTTCCGCAGGCCTTGAGCTTACCTACTCCGCATGAGTGAAAAGGTTGGCAGCTGCAGACTACATTGGTTGACTGTTTGTTTGAACACTACAGCACTTGCACTTGTAAGCAAAAGTACCAACTAAATTTAACGAGAGTGATAAAAAGAGAGAGAGAGAGAGAGAGAGAGAGAGAGAGAGAGAGAGAGAGAGAGAGAGAGAGAGAGAGAGAGAGAGAGAGAGAGAGAGAGAGAGAGCGGGAGAGAGACAGAGAGAGAGACAGAAAGAGAGAGAGAGAGACAGAGCCACAGACAGAGCCAGAATCAGAGAAACAGAGAAAGAGACAGACAGAGAGAGAGAGACAGCGAGAGAGAGAAAGACGGAGACTGAGAAAGAGAGACACAGAAAGACAGAGAGAGAGAGAGTGTGAGAGACAAGAGAAGGAAAGAGGATGAAAGTGAGAGAGCTAGAGCGGCATTAATTAACCTTTTGTTGATTATGTCAACATTTCTTGATGTTTGATTGAGCGGGACAGAACCGCACGGGCGTGGCGGTTTCAAACCGCAAGGGCCGACCCGAGGATTCCGAATCCAAAGCCTTCCTCTGCAAACAAGTGACAGCCTCAAGATCCATGAACACGCCGCCAGGCGAGATCATGCAGCATCCCCCAACAGTCGTGGCCTTCCACCATTGGTGTTCCTTTCGATTAGCTTATGCAATTCCCTTGCAAAACTTAGGAGATGTGGACAGGAAGGAGACAGGGAGACAGAAAAAGACAGAGAGAGAGAGAGAGAGAGAGAGAGAGAGAGAGAGAGAGAGAGAGACGAGAGAGGGAGATTGAGGAGAGAGAGGCTTGGGGGGAGGGGGAGGATGGGGAGCAGAGGGAGGGAGAGAGGACGACAGAACACACGAGAAAGACAAGGGAGAGAGAAAGAAGGAGAAGAGGAGAAAAGGGAGAGGACAATGTCGGCGGACTGAGCTGGAGGCTCTAAAGTATGTTGTGGCATGAGCCCGATTGAGTCTGATCTGGCTCCTTAAAGTGGTTCTGCGCGCTGGCACGTGCTCAAACAAGCGCTTGACGCCGCGACATCGCTGAAGCGTGCCCATAAGTTGCCTGAAGTTTCGTCCCATCACTGCCAAGCAGTGGGAACATCAGAAATATACATAATGGTGTTGCGCCAGTAGGCCCCGGAAAAGGGCTTTGAAACCCTTCAGCGTTTCTCTTGTTCCGTTGGCCATGCTGCAAAGTAAGCAAAGGCGACAGACTTTGACAAAGAGACCCGCTTTCTGCAGGTACGTCTGCAACAAGAATCACGCCCATGGTGCTGCACTATGCTGTCAGCAATGCTGATCAAAAAACACCGCCAGCACATTTAACCTCTCGTTGAACCATGGAGTGCTTTTAACAGGCTCCCGCCAACCACACCAGCCAATGCAATGTATCACAGTGGATGTGCTCCTCAAGTGGTAGCTTAGCAGGCCGCGGTGCCAACATGCGTCCCCTACCACATGGCCACCACAAGATTGCAACCTAGATCGCCCTCCATACCAGGATTGAGCCATTGATCGCACTGCTCCTTGGAGTCGATCTCGCCGGAGCCATCGGTGTCGAAGAGGTCGAAGGCTTCCTGTGAAAGCGGAATTCTGGGGGCCGAGAATGGCCTAGAAACATCAATCTCAAGCAAGCAAAGTCATGGCACAGCCGATGCGAGCAATCGGCAAAAGGTGCTCAAGCCAGGAATCTATGCTCCACTGTGGCCCCAAACACGCTCCACACGCTGGAGACCAGCAAATTCCAAAGAATCAACACAAATCGCACGCCCACCCAGCCACCAGTCCTTGATCTCTTGCTTCTGCTCCTCAGTGAGCTCCTTCTGCTTCTTGCCACCGGCGTTGAAGCGGCGGAGGGCCATGGCGTTGAAGCGGTTGAAGCGGGCGAAGCGGTGCTTTTTGCCGGGCGGGGTGCTGAGCCGAGAGTCAAAGAGCCAACGCACGCCCACAGCTAAGCGGCTCTGGGGCTTTAGCCATCCTTCTCCACCCACTGGCATATGGTAAACATTCAGTAGCAAAAACCACTCTCCCATGGCAGGACAGTCGTCATCCTTACCTTGGGAATCTGAAATACGCTGCTGGCCGGCTAATAGATCCTTGCGCATCCTCGCGGCGTTGAAATGTTGAGACCAAGAGGCGGTTGCGAGCACAAAACCTGTCGCTGATGTGCCCGTGGTCCTATCATGCCAGCCAATCATGCCCCTGTGGAGCCTGGCACGCATGCGCCAACCCCACACTCTGGAACATATGAGCAGCGGCCAAACCCGTTGACAGTTGAAGATACATATGAGTTGTGTAAAAGCTGCTTAAACAGCCAGGCCCTGGCCTGCTTTAGAGTGGAACCAAGAGAAGCATGCTTCGACAATAGGTGGGCAAAGAGTCTTTGAAGAGAGGGTTGGCCCAACCCTGAATCGTTTTTGGACATTGCCCGAAATGCATGATCTGCCAGACATGGGGACAAAAGCATGCCGCGCGCCGTTTCGGTCCAACTGTGCGACCCTCGTGTGCCTTGCATGCCAGGAGCAGTGGGGTCCACCCTGCGGCAGTCTTCGCGTCCACGCGGGACGTGCCCGCGCCTGGGTGCCAAGACGCAGTTCGCCTAACGTGCAAGCAAAGCCCAAGTGGCACCAAAATGGAAAGCCACGAAGACCCCAACCAAAATCTCATCCTGGACAGCAACACCTGGAAAGGCACCAGCAGTACAACTGATTTTCTGGGGCCACCGCCTTCGCACAGTAGTTGGCAACCTCAGGAACGAGGGGATTCGCTTCGCTGCTGTTGTCCGAAGGAATTTGGCGGCCTGGGGATTTTGATGGATTATGTGCATGTGGCAGGAGTATTGGCCAGCATGCGACGCATACACCAAACATGCAACACCGTCTGCCTATTCCATCACGGGATGCTCGTGGCTGCCGTCGCTTCCGCTCCAAGGCCGAACACCTCCGCAAGGCTAGCCTTCAGGCCCAACCAGTGGGACCAACTGAAACTGGCTGATACCCTCCTATCCAACACGGAAACCACCGAGCTGCCGGGCAGGCACCATGCCCAGCCCTTGCTGCCAGGGCCAAGGGCGTGAAGCCGCCGCCTTAACAAGGTCTGACTGGGTTGCTCGAGTTTGCCAAGCCGCAGCCCGCAATGAACGAGGGGGAAACAACAGCAGCTGGCAGGATGAAGAATTCATTGTTCCACAACCCAGACAGGTGACTTCAAGTTTAGCATTGCCTGTGCTACGTGTCCATCATATGCCAGTACAGGGTTGCCTCGGAAGAAATCCTGTTCTCCCCGCGAAGGCATGCCCCCAACTCGGGTCGCCAAGCGCATCTCCAGATCGGCACGCGCGTTCGCGTCCAGCAGCAGCCGGAGGCCCTCCTCGAAGCCCTCAGCACCCAAAGCCGCGCGGCCACATCCGAGTCCATCCGAGGGCCAAGCAACGAGACGCAAGGAAATGACCCGAGTCCACCAAACCACTCTGCCTTTCCATGTCCTTTATTTTGGGGGGGTCACATGAAAAGTATCCATGTCTTCACTGTCCATGCTGAAAAATATCCAACCAAAAACGAAACTGGTGCATCCCTGTCTAGATTGTCCCGCATGTTTGCGGTGGGGTCCGGCCCACCTACGGAAAGTGACACCATGTTTGCCCACCTCTCGGTGGGGTGCCGTGGATTTGGGACTCCAGTTCCGCCAATGGGAAATGGCAACTTGTTTGATTGCTTGCCTCTTGGTGGGCTTTTGGCCCAGTGCTGTGAGCAGTGGACTCCAGTCCCACCTGCGGAATGTGACGGCTTGTGCTTGCTCATCCCTTGGCGGGCTGATGGCCCTGTGCTGTGCACGGTGGGGACCTGTCCCACCAACGGAAAGTCACGGCTTGTTTGTTTGCTCACCTCTTGGTACATGAGTGTACGCGGCCCTGCTCCAATACTCAGGACAGGTGTCGCTCAAGTTCCTATATATGTCCCGCATGTTTGAACATAGCTTCGCAAACTGCCCTGGTCCGCACACAGCTTGAAGCACGCATCTCTGCGTGGATTTTGGGCCCAAGGAAGGTCAGCCAAGCCTCCGGAAAATGCCCCGCCCCAGGCGCTGCCTTCTCCATCCCAATTGCACATTGCTCAGTCACGTGCCTGCTGTGCCGCCAGGTGCAGGGCTGTGCACCCAGTGTCGCCGTCGGTGTCTTGCATGGGCTGGTCCTCGAAAACAGAAAAGTTGTACCTGCTGAAAGCCATCCGCGAAATCAGGGCATGGGCTGCACTTTTCCTCTGAAATTGGTGTTGTAAATGAATGAGGCCCCAGTCCACATCGGCGTTCGAATCCAGCAGCAGCCGCAGGGTTTCCGCCTGGCAGAGCTGCACCTCAGGCAGCGGAAGGGACTTGTCTGCCAAGATGAGACCAGGGGACTGTGGAGAGAAAGGAATGATCCAGACCAAGAGCTCCTTGGCAAATCGCACTTCTTTGGGCCGGCCCCACGCTGCGTTAGACGGAGGAAAGACATACCAAGAGAGACCCGACGCTTCAAGCAGGTGAAAACTACATATGGCACGGTTTTGAGGGCACCTGCAGAGCGGAGGATGGGAGGAGAGATGTTGCAAATGAGATGCCACCAACTGGATTGACATGTCTATCTTGTTGGATTGACACGCCTCCGAAGTCGGAGACCAAAAACCAAAAAACCAAAAACTCACTATCTCTGCACGATGTGTTCCTGGACCACACACACACACCGCACACTCTATCTCTGGGCACCGGCTCCGTCGACTGGAGGAATGCGCGCGCGGTGACTTGCCGTTCGGCGCCTGCCGGCTTGAAAGGGAGCCCCCACCACACGCACGCAGCAAGCAAACTCCAAACGCCACGCGGATGCCATGCACACGACCCGTACCACAAACAGGTTGCTAGAGGGCAAGCCCCCAGAAAGTTCTGCCTCTCCCACTCATTCGCGGTGGTCCAATCTGCCAGATCTCCTGGCCTGTGGCGGCGCCACGGCGCAACAGCTGTCGTGCCACCTGAGTTGCATTCCAGCAACGGCGCACACCTTCGCAACACTGAGGATGTCTAGCGGAAAACAAACCCCCAACAGGAAGCCAACCTTCTCAAGGAGAAGGATTGCATCACAAGTTCAGGCAGCACCGCTAACACCTTGTCTGACACCAGCAGACCCGTCTCTCAAAACCGCCACCGCTTTTGGGAAGTGAGGTTTCCCGGGATGAAATGTCGGGAAACACAGCCCAACAAGAAGAAGAAGTCCATAGATTTTTGGACGGCTTGGCCCGGCCCCCCCCATAAACCCAAAACAATTCCAGGAAACCTTGGCCTGGGCCTCTTCTTCGAGTTCTCAAAATTACTTCTGGGAGATCCATTTAAACCTAGCCAGATGGGCCAAATGCCAACCATCTCCACCCCCCCCCCCCCGGCCTCCAAATGTCCCTGCTGCACCGCGAGCTGTAGGGCCGAGGCCTCGGCAAACAGCGCCTCAAAGACAACCCCGCAACGGTCCAAAAGCCAGCGATGAATGGCAAACCATCGGGGTGACAGGCAAACTGTCCTGGATGGGATGTTTGGACGGTATGACAAGAATATTCAATAATAACCAAAATCATAACATAATAACAATAATAATTCGCCGGATAGAAAGAACAATAATAATATAGCAAGTGAAGCACATTCAAAAACACAGCGCGAAGACGCAAACGTCGCATCCAGCAACGAAAATAGACAAGGAGTCATCGAGGCCGCGCCTGCCCAGATGACATGCCTAGCAGGGGCCTTAAGCCTCCAGCGCTGCCAGGCGGGGGAATTGTCCACTGTGCCTTGTGGTCCAGCTTGGGTTGTGAGGGGAGAGGAGCCAATGGTGGCCAGAAGGCTGAGATTCCATTGCTAGCGCCACTGGGAAAAAATGAGAAGCGATCCAGGCAGCTCACCTTCCCTCATGAGGGGAGCAAGGCTGGCTTCCAAGGTGGGCCCCGAGCCGTCTGTGCCCACATCATCGCTCCCACAGAATCTGAAAGCTTCCTTGCAATTGCACCTTTCTGAAAGACCATCATCCTCAAATACTGTGCGGCCGCGGGGCAAATGATTTGGGTGACCCCAAACCGTAGTGAGCGCTACGCCGTATTCGAGAGGCCCCCCAAAGACAAAGCTTTTTAGGCCCTCCTTAGCCTCCGCTCCCGACCGCCGCAACGCAAGCCCAAGCCCCGGCGGCAGCAGCTCCACCGCATCCGGGTGATTCCTCTTGGCCGCCCTCCTCCTGAGGGGCGCATCGGGTCCATTTCCACACGCGACGACGGGTTCCCCTTGGTACAGAAGGGCCGCGCGAAGAAGAAGTGCATTACTTCAAAAGCTCAGGGCTTGCGCTACCTCCTGCAAAGCCTCCCCCCCTCCCCCCCAAACTGGGCTCGTGCCCCAAATGTTTTTTTTTTTGGACGCCTAGCCCCGGGGTATGGGATGGAATTGCTCTTGGAAGCTGAAACCGTTCGGACGCATGGAGCACCATGTCCCTCGCGTTTGGCAACAGGGAAAATGAGGTGAGAGTTCCTGGGCTACAAAACAAAATGACACATCCCCCTTCCACACGGAAAGTGGGGGGGTGGGGGGGGGGCGTCCCTCAAAGAGAATGCCAACATATGGGTGAGCAGGATAGCTAGCCTCAAGCATGCCCTAAGGATGAATCCACATCCATGCTTCCAGCATAAAACAGGAAACAAATGTCGCGTCTGCTTCTTGCCAAAGCAAGGCATGGGTTCTTGATTGCCCTGGTATCATGCCACTCCACCACTTGATGCTGTCAGTGCTCACCCCCGAAGAGTGCCGGGCGAGGAGCTACTGGCCGCTGCTTTCAATAGCACCTGCATACACCAAAGATACGTCAACGAGGCCCGGGGCGCAAAGTTCGAGCCAGAGGACTTCATTCAGCCCATGGAGCCTGATGGCCGGGTTCATGCCGGGTATGACCCGGGAATAGAAGTGAGAAAGCATTTCACATGGACTCAACAATTGCAATGATTCGACATTTGACGCCGAAGCAGGCTTGCAGCACGCCCAGGCCTTCATGCAGTCCACGTGGCCCGCCCTCGCGGCCCAAGGCCATGGAGCTACTTCCCGTTGCAGTGAGAGCCTGGCCCACCAGTCAAAGCAGCGCACATGGCAACCCCCTCGGGATGGGGCGTCGTGGGAAGGGCAGCAAAATCCCAGCCCCTGAAATACTCTGAAGTGAGAGGTGGGGACGGATTCAAAGTTGACCTCGAAACTAGCAGCAAGCCAACAGATAGTGAGGCAAGGAATCCCCTCCAAGAGTCACGAAAGTGTCCTGCTGCCAATAAATGAATACTAATAGAATTGGCAGCGGCAGCAACAGCCAATCCTGTAGCACTACCTTAGAACTTTGTCGCCAGCCGCACCTGGGGTTGATCTGCCGAGGGTTTATTGATTCCACGTTTCTTTGCACACAGTGATTCAACACGCCTGAATGAAAATCTCAGCAGCTTCTGTCAAAGGAGATTAGAAACTCTTTGGCTTCTTTGTAGGCCCCCTGCTGCTTCTCAGGAACATGGCATTCAGGCACCTAAGGCACCAATTCTCCCGTTGCCCGGGCTCACCCAAGCGCCCGCCCAACCGCCTCCGCATTGGCGTTGCCGTGCCAGGGGGGGGGGGGGCCCCCCCCCCTTGGGTGGGGGGAGGGGGGGGCCTCCGCATTGGCGTGCCGTGCCAGCAGGAGGTCCACCTCGGCCGGAGCCAACCGGAGGAGGTGGATCGGTGAGGACAAGGGAAGGCCTCGTGTCCGAATTCGGTGAGTTGGCCTCAACAGTGCATTTCAACCAAAGGGTATGTGCTATGCAAGTAACCAAAGGGCTTGGTCTCAACGGTGCATCCGTGCTATGCATGTAACAAGGTGTGCCTTCGGAACGTTTGCCCTTGCGCATCAGTGACTGAACCAACTCTCTTTCACCATGATCCCTTGCGATCTACCCTTAGCGATTGCCATCACAAAGCTAAGTTTGAGCCTGAAGCTTCCGGGGCGAACCTGGGTTTCGCTTTGGTATAGGTCCAAGCAGCTTGCACAAAGACAAGCCTTCAGGTGTTAGGGCCTTGAAAACCCTTCGGATTCCTCGCGAATGGAAAAGGAACGAAGCTGTTTCTCCCCCCCCCCGCAGGCGTGCTCCATATACTTTGCGCAGAGACATGAATGGGTCTTTCTCGAACCAGCGAAGTTTCTCTTTCAAAAGAGGCCAAAGGCAAACCAAACCCCCATCGAAAAACCGAAATGGGCGGGAACCCAACCCATATAGTCACAGTCGGTGAGTTTAGGTTGGTCAGGCTCTCATCGCATAGCTGGGCCCCCAAGCCACATCGCTGCGCCCAGCCTCCGCCGCCTGCCGAACAAGTGGACGGCAAGACCGTCTGATTCTGGGTGTCTTTTGCAATGGCACTTGTAAATGGTGCGAACCAAGCTGAAAAATGGAATCCATTTATGTTCAGCCCAGAAAAGGATATCTATTCATGTGACATCTGACGCTTGTCAACCGAGACTGCATTTTTTAGTTCCAGCAAATCTCTTCAAGGCACATTGCTAGCAAACCAGCTCGGCCAGTAAAAGTAAAGCACTGCAAAATGAAACCCGCTCCATTCAGAGAATCCGCCGCAAAGCTGGCTCAACGTATTTGTTGCTGCTACTTGGAAAGGGCAGCTGGAAAACGAGTTGGCCGTTTGGTCGCAAAAGGTAAGGATAAACGTCTCAATCGCGGCTGGGTTGGAGTCGGAGTGCGTCATGTTTATGCAACAAAACCTTGGCATGAGAGACCTGGCACGTACGAGTAGCAGCTCTGCTTTCCGTACCCCTGTCAGGCAACAGCACATGCCCTCCCCCCGCCCGCCCCCCCCCCCCGCCGCATGAAGCGCACGGCGGCCACCCACTTCTCGGTCTGCATCTGCGGAGGCATCTAGCAAGCACTGGACCAGCGGCAAATGCCCCGGCCGCGCGGCCTAGGCACAGAATGCAAAGGGCGCGCATGAGGCACAGAGTTAAACGCCTCGGGTTGCATGTAGAAGGTGAACCCAACGATACCTTCCTTTCGGTGAGCCTCGTCAGTGTATCCAACGATACCCAAGAATACTCAAGGAGAGCTGGGTGTCTTTCGCAGCCCGAAGCGTCCACCTCCATACAGTACCTGTTAAGAAGCCAAGCAACTCACTCTTGTTGAAAAACGGAAACCCTCTGCTCTCAGAATGTTATCACTGCTGCCGTCGCTCCCCAGCTAGTAAGTTTTCCCGGAGCTACAGGGCTGGTTGAACCTTGGGGCGTAGGGTGGCCGCTCTTGGAAGAAAATTTCAGCAAGCCGTTTGACCAACCAGCTGCAAGCGGCAAACTTGACGTCGGATCTTTTTGACAAGGCCCGCAAAGCACTTGCGAAGGCCAGCCTGTGGATGGGATCTTTGACCCTCACATCCTCGAAGAACTCATTTAGTCTCCGATTTGCATATTGCTTGATTTGAGACACTTGGTCAAAGCGAGCAGTTAAGGTCGGAATGTACTCCACCAAGCTCCCTCCGTCAAGCTGCTGTACCCACTTGACGACATCCTCTCTCTCGTCCACCTGGCCGGCATCATCCTCGATCTGTACCACTTTTCGCGGCCGCTTCCGCTCCAAGCCGCCGACCACCGGCTCAGCCAAGTGCCGATGTGGCCGCGGGCGCTTGGTCGGGCCACGGATGATCCTCACATCGGAAGCCTCCTCCCGGCGGGAGGCCTCCCGAGGCGGGGCCTGCACCGCCTGGCGGGTGGGGCGCGGGGGCGGGGGCGCGTCAGGACGGGCCTCTGAAGGCCACACCTCGTAGACCAAGGCCTCCTTGTACACGGGATTGGCCGCAGGGAGGAAGGACACCTTGTCGAATGGCTGGAGCTCCACCCGGACGCCATTGGCCACGCGGCGGTCGTTCACCCAGGTGCCATTCACCGAAGTATCCTGGATTGAGAGCCTGCCGTTGTGCAGCTCAAGAACCGCGTGAGCTTTGGAGATGTGCGGCTTTTGCAGCACTGCCTGCGCAAACTCGGCATCCCTCCCAAGTGTCACGCGGCCCGTGATCGGTATCACCTGCGGCACTGCTGGGTCAGCCGAACGGCACCGCAGCTCAAAGCCCGTGGCAGCGCCAGACCCCCCCTCCGTGCTCTGCCGCAGATCTGGCACATGGCCCAACACACAGCGCACGGGGAATGTGTCCTCGTCCGCCGAGGGATTGTAGAGGTACCGGTCCGACAGGAGCTCGAACATGGTCTTGGCGCCCTCGCTGGAGGCGAAGTGCACCAGTAAGTGCACGACTGCGGGGTCTCGGCCTTGGAACATCACCGCCTCCCTCACTGCCCCCCAAAGCGCCGGGAAGTCGAACCACAGTGACCCGGGCTGCTGAGAGAACTGCTTCTGCCCCTGCGGCCAGCTTTTGATCCACTTGAACGGCAGGTCCAAAAGCACCCCCGTCTCCTTGGTCCAAGGTAATTCACTAGTGGGTCAGGCTTAACATGATCAGGACCCCGTGCTGGCTTGGGGGGCCAGGGAGCAAGGCTGCACTACCTGACAACGCAATGGCTGACAGAAAGGAATAGCAACCAAAAGCTTGTGTTTGTTCGCTCTACTTCAAACGATAGAAGCCAAAGTCGAGAAATAGCCACGTGTTTAATCTCTTGGCGGAGTCCCAGTTGCCCGGTGACCCCGGTAGAAGACTGTTTGGAGTTGGCCATTCCAACGTGAACCCACCAAACAAAAAAGGGACACCCTCAAAACTGCATAAATCCCCCATGTCAGTGTCGTCCACCAAAGGTCCATTGAGCATCCGTACCTATCCACTCCCAGTTGGAAAGGAACAAAATACTGAATTCAGATTTTCGTCGAAAAGAAGAAAGTGGTAAAGAGTCATAAATGATATAAGTGTTGTTCAGAATTTATGGTTTCAGCATTGTCTTTCAACATGTTATTTACAAACAAGGATCTGCATATTTTATTTTGGAATGCCAACAGCAATGCTAATGTGTACTATCCGGTTTACTTCAAGTTAATTACTAAGAAACTTTACCAAACATGCTGAAGCCAACATGTGACTAAAATATTACAAAAACAAAAAGATGAATTCGAGTGCCAAAAAGCTTGACCATGCATGTTTGCTAAGTTACTAGATTTATACTAAGCGGTCACTGCTATTGTTTTAAACAACTGCTAAAATTACATGATTCTAATTAATTTGACTAAACATTGCTTTACTAAACTGTTACTAAAGATTTACTAAACATGCACAGCAAATACTAACATGTTGCTTCGAACACACATTGTGTTACTAAAATGGTACTGATATAATCAAAAGAGCAAGAAACCCCAAACGCGCGCCGAAGGCTGCGCCCTGAACAAAAAGAGGTGGATTGACCGTGGTTAATCCCTCAGCGGTTCAGGGGGTTGTTCCTAAGCTCTAGTTCCGCACTCAGCGCCCTTTTTCTTGATGAGCGCTTGAGCCAAACGGCGTTTGCCGTTCGACAAGTCTGTCATGACATGCAACCCTCAACCTAAACCAAAGTGGCCTCAAGCAAACCTCACATCAGTGACCACACAACTAGGCAAGTTACCATGCCTTTGGGGGCTAAGGGGTCGTTATTTCTTGACTCCCCCCTCGCCGTGTGCACTAAGGCAGGGTAAGCTTTTGTTTTGGAGCGCGATACGCTGCTCCCGGACATCAAGGCTTTACAAGGATGAAGGATATTTTGGCACTCTTAGTACTCACAGCACTAGTTTCGGGATGACTTTCTACTTTTTGATGTTGAATCGAGTATCTTCTAGCTCTTCTGCGAGATCTGTGCGCATTCCCAGGAGCCTCAAGGCGTGATCCCACTTATGCGGAGGCAAAGCCTTGGTAAAGATATCGGCAGCTTGGAAATCGGTCTTCACATATTCAAGCTCTACTCCAGTGCCTTCCTGTAACTGTTCTGCAAGGGATGCTAGGTTAACCCTATGTGTCCTAGAAATTGCACGCAACTTCGAGGAGTGCCCTTTCCTTGCAACCAGAATAGTAGCTTGATTGTCTTCATGGATCCTTAGGGTCATTGGGCGACCCAATAGTCGATCCCACAGACTAAGTGTCGGGAGTCCCTCCTGATACAAAGAAAATGCTAACGACACAATCTCTGCTTCTGTAGTGGAACGCGACACAGAAGTCTGGCGCTTGCTAATCCATGCTAAGGGGAAGTGGGAATTCGGGCCTTTCAGGGCGAGAAACCCCCCTGACGTGGACTTGGCCCCCTCTTCTCCTGCAAAGTCAGCGTCGACGTAGAGCGCAAGATGCAGCTCTCTGGGATCGTCTTGAACTGTGCCAACCAACCTGTGCGTTGTGGTCGTGTTAATGTAAGCTATTAGCCTAGCCAACTGCCTATCATTATTACGCGACCATTTTTGAACGCACGTTGCAAGATCCCCGATGGGCTTGATTATGTCTGGACGTGCAAGACGTCCCAACCACAAGGCCTTCATCAAGATTTTACAAGCGGCTGAGCTCAATTCACCTGCTTCGGCATCATCTTGTGTTGGCAATGACCCTTCCGGACAGAATGGGGTCAATGCCTTGCGGAGTTTACTAATCGGCTGACCTGAAATGGAGACATACAAATCTACAGTTTGTTTGGCATAGTCAACCATATCAAAAGCCATTGCGTTGGACAGCGCGCCAAAGGCTGCGCTCTCGGCTGGATTGGGTTCGCACTTCGGGGCGTTAATGATGACATGATTCCTTCCCAAAACACGATATATCGGTTCTGGGGGTTCAATATCAACACATGACATCAGCTTTTCCCAAAAGGGATCATGCTGCTCTGCCGGCCCTGAAAGTGTTAGATCATCCACATAAGTGGATAGCATTAAGCCGGTTGAGGGGAAGTAAAAGTTTCCTGGAAATTCTTGGATCTCCTCTCCGGTCTGCTCCTTCAAGATCTTCTTGAAGCGCTGCTCCCATAGCCCCCCCGCGTCGGGGTGACCGTAGAGTGCTTTTACTAGAAGGACTACCGGTTTTATAAACTTTTCTTTCCACCACTTCGGACGAAGTTCCGGCGGCAACGATATCCACGTCTGATGTTGAGATCGAAGTAGGGCCTGGATATATGCCTTTACGGCGTCTGCCGCCGTGGTTTTGTGACCTGGCAGTGAGCCGTAGGCAAGGCAATTGTTCAAACCCTGAACGGACGTAGGGTTGGCGCCGAGTTCTTGATAAACGGCCGCCGCCCCATATTCGTCCCGCGCACAGTCCCCTCGGTATACTATACGCCCCTTCATTTTCTGCAGATGCTTTGCTAGCTCAAAGAATTTGATGGAGGCGATGGTCATTAGTTGACCGAAGTGGACTTTAGTGTGCGTCCGTCGCGCTTCAGCAGCGACCTCTCCTTGCTCCCTCACGGCGCTGAGATCCCAAACTCCCGCATTACTTAAGCCGTCTGCTTCTTCCTTTACGGCCTGCAACGCCTCGGACGAGGCAAGCATCTCTGAACGTGAAAGAAGTTTTGTGACCATGGCGGCTATGTCGGGAGAAGTCTCCTGCTTTGTAATTCCCTGAATTTCCCTAACGAGGTTATCCAAGTCAAAGAGTTCTTCAAAGAATCTGCGGGATGTTGGATCTGATTCAACCACTGACGCGAGAGCCCCAACACCCGAAAGTGCGGAGGTATGCTTCAAGGACTGCTCCTTTTCCCGATGCTCCTCTTGCACGGTGACAGCCTGGACTGGCATTGCAGGCGCGCATGGTGCTGCGACATGCGGGTATAACGCACTAGCGATTATCTTACACATCTCTTGTGGATAAAAGGCGGTGCGTGCAGTGTTGCTACCTGCGGCCTGTGCGTGCTTGAAGGAGTGCTGGTGGGGGCATGTCCTATTCTGGAACCCATCATGAAGTTCCTTGGATGTGGTCATGAGACGCCACGGCTTCTTGATGGGAGTCCCTTCCTTGTCAGTTAGACCTACTGCACACCCGTGGAAAGTCACTGAGTGGAAGCGAGACGCATGCTTCTCGAAGAATGCCTTTACGTCGGGGCGCTCCCATCCCTCGCAATCGCGAGGCCACTCGAAAGTGACGTGACCCTCTTGTTCTAACACCACTTCGGCGTGCTTTGTGAACCTTGCGAACAACGCCTCCGACCTTTTAACCTGTGCACGGAGATACTGCTTGTATTTAGTGCCATACCTATGGACATTTAGCCTTTGCCATGGCGACCCGGAGGTGCACGGAATGGCCGCCCACATGTTAGGCTTGCTACAAGACTGCAACTGAGCGGTCAGTTGCTCATCCCCTTCATTGGTTTCAAGATCGATGTGTTCTTTAGCCAGTCTCACGTGAGGAATGCCTAATGCTTGATGCACTGCTCCCATGGTGGAGTCACTTGAACATGCATACTCGAACATTACAGGCATAGAATTTCCCCGCGCGATACGCTTGCGGGCCCTCTTATTCCCTACGGAAAACTTTTTGCATGGCTCCTCTTTGGAACATGGCATGCCGAACACAGGCAGAGTCCGAGCCTCCCTCTTGGTGAAGGAGTCGGCTACGTGGCACGTGAGTGACGTGGAGGTTGCAGTGGTTGTTGTTACCGCCGCGCCAGTTGTGGCTGCAGGCGGCGCGGTTGGAGGAATCCCCCCTGGCCGAGACGGAGCTGGCTTGCCGCGAAGAGCATCATCATGCTCTTCGGATGCCCTTAGTGCCTTTTCGAGCTCATCGGGATCAGATAGATCTGCCTTTTCAAGGCGGGAAAGCTCAAGTGCCTTTTTAAGGTCGGCATCGTCTTCTCCGAGACGTGCCTCCTTGGCTGCATGAACTGGGTCAATCGCTTCGGAGGGGCGAAGTGACCGCTCTACCTCGACGGCAGCCGAGCGCTTGGAGCGCTCCTCGGCTTTCTCCGTATCGACCAGCCTCGCAAAGCGGCGTCGACATTCGGGGGTATGGTACCGGGTGCGCCCAGTACAACCTCGACAACCTGGCGTTTCACGGAACCGGATTATTCGATCCACAGTGATGTACACGCCTCGCGGCGTGCCTGGAGCGGGAGTCGGCGGTGCAGCTACCTCGCTAAACGGAACCTCTTTAAGAGCGACTTCTGGGAGTTCACCCTCGGCTTCCCCCGTCCGCAGCGCCTTGTGGGCTGCTGCCGCAACGGGGAAACAAGGCTCGCCTTCTTCAACGAAGAGTTCTGCCTCCGGGACATCATGCACTACAATCGCTCGACGAGTCCTACATTCTTGATAATCTAGGACCTTGACCACATGGCGATACCGAAGGCCTGCGTCAACCCTCCAGCCCAAAAACAAAGCAGGTGCCAAGTTGGGTTCTAGAGTGCGCTTATTAATGCCCTTTTTACGGTAATAGACAAGCTGACCAAAGCAATGCCTAATGCCATCGAACTTCGACTTTGTCAAGGCTTCCCATTGGGTCTTAGCCTTGTCGAATGTTGCAGGTCTGTCGA